ACTTAATTGAAAGTCAGCGAGATATGGTGGATGACATGAGCCGAAGCCGAGTAACTAAACCATTGGACTATGCGCAGAGACAGCACCGCGACACAGAAGCCCACCAAATTGACGACGACTCCATGCGGAGACACGAAATAGATCGAGGTAGCGACATTGACTTTACCGCCGCCCAAAACAGTATGAAGAGCAAACGCGAACTGTTTATCAAAGAAGGAAACGTGGAAATTCTACAGCTCATGACCAGAGATAAAATTCACGATACTGCTGCGCTAGACGATGACAACATATACGTGAATGTCCCTCTGAAGCCCTTAGGAAACCTGTCACATCCACAGCTGCTAATGGTGGACAATACGGGTAAAGAGATTCTTATGCGGAGATTTATTGAAGAGCAGCCAGATGGAAAGCAGATCATTCGCGAGCACTATCAAATAGTACCAGGAGCAACTTACATCCAATCCATGCCGAACGAAGTACAACAGGCATCCACCCTAAAAGTCGATACTTATCCATTGGCTAAGTCGGGGCCAAACAGTATTGTCTATTCCCAGATGGAACCGGAAGTAAAGGTTATACACACACAGCCCGAGCAAGCTGTTGATGGAAATTCAAAGTTGCGGCCTGCCATATCGAATCACTCCCTCACCCAAGAGCTGGAAAACTCTCTTAAGCAACAGAACTCCCTGCTGCGACAGATACTGCTGGAGAAGGACAAATTGGAGTCCGGCTATACGCAGGAAGTGGCATTGGAAACACAAAGTCTGCCAGGTCAATCGATGGCCATAGGCACACAGACCGACTGTGATGCCGGAACGCAAACTGATACTATTGAAAACCTTATCGGGCACACAACCGTCAGTTCACAAGCACAAATGAAGTCGCAGCGTCGTGCTCGAAGTGAGAATGATGAGTCCATGTCTGAGGATGGCTATGAATACGTGCGGTTCATACCTCCAAATAGTCCCGAAGGTACATTCTGGATCAAGCGTCGTCGGACGAAGAAGCGTCGGAAACAGCCACGTAAAAGGATCGTAATGGTGGATGAGGTGAAACGCAAAATCCGCACGCCCATTAAAGAGGAAGAAGAGCTGCACGAGCGGAAGAGTCGAGTCCCACCAAAGAAACCATTGCGGGAGACCAAGACAAGTATACTGCGGAAACAGCTAAGCGACGAAAGCCGAAAAGCTGACGCCAATTCCATTGGAGAATCAAAGTCAGGAGCACATCTCAAATCCGACGTATATGTAGGAGCAACAGACTCATTGGACGAAAATACAAGTCCCAGAAACCACAGCACACGAAACATTCTTGTTGAAAAGTATTACAAAAATTCCGATGGTGAAGGGCAGTTCGACGATGAGGACGATACAGAGTATTCCTTTGACTCAGATGGAGATGAAATCGTGATTAGAACAAATTCTGTAGTACCCAGCCGAAGGCAAGAGAGCGATAAGTATGTAATAGAAACAAAAGAGAAGCGAAACATTGAGTTTTCTCCAGAAAATGTGGTATACACAAAGCAGAAGTCACAGTCCCGCTCACAGTCACTGGTGGAGACAGTACAAGAGGCGCAAATAAACTCAATTCCGAGATTGTCAAGACGAGACAGCAAGAAGCGGGAAGACAACAATACCAGAAGGCAAACCTCATCGGAGCCCCCTCACAACCGACTATCCATATCAAAATTCGATTCTATAGCTATTGAAGATGAACCTACACACCACGCCACATCGTTGAATGATCGAAACTATCAAAGTGAAACTGAATTAGGCAGTCTTGAGGGGCCACGGGAGCGCAATGTGCCCAAGTATATGGAGTGGTACTACAATAAAAAAAAATCATCAGTTAGCGGCCGTACCTCAACGGAGTCATCGAAATCTCAACCAGCGAGCAAAAGAAAAGTTGTTGGAGCGGAAAAACGCGTTTCAAAGACACGTGTCGCCATCCAGCCATCCCAAGATTATGATTATCATGATGATGGTGGAAAATATAAACCTGAACCGGCCCCACGCAGATCCCCGCCGAAAGGTAGTCGTTTGCTTAAGGAGGACAGAGCTTTGAATAAGCAGCGTAGACCAAAAAAAGAGACTGACACAAATCACCCACTTCTGCAGCACTCTGAGCATCGGTTTGAGCGTGAAAGTGCTATAGAAGTTCCATCACACCCTACGAAACTGCCCCACTATATGTACCCAGAAACTCCTCCATATGCAGCAACAGCTACTGCTGCTTCAGACAAAGAGCTCCCAGCACAAAGGCAGCTGCAGAAGCCGTCCCCTATTAAAGAGAATGAAGTTAAAGTGACAAATTCAAAAATAAATAATCTGAAACAAGGTCGTAGCCTCGCACATCAGACATCATCGCATGCACAAAAACAGTTAAATGCTTCGACGCTCGAGGATGATCATGATTCAGGCATAGCTATGAATCCCCTTTTAAACAGCCTGGGTCGTCGCAATCCGATAGCCGAGAAAAAAAGCGTATTCTCCATTGCCTACGACGATGTCAGTCGGGTCAAAAAGATTCCCTCAGGCGGCGAGTCCCCACAATACTCGTAATGCGAGTTCTGCGAATCATTTAATGTAGCAATCAAATGTGATAGCCTCAAAGGCTCCTTACCTACAAATCATCGAATACTAAATATTTAATGCAATACTTGTTCACTACACAACAAATGCACATCTACATTTGTTAGCACATTCTTAGTCTATAGAATGTTGATAATGTTCAACTCGTTTCAGTTCAACGGAAATACATCTAGATCCCTATTAATTAGTCGCTTTCATTACAATCATAAGCAGGTAAATTGTAACTAATTATAGTAGATGCTTCTAACTACATAACGTCTACATTAATTTCATGTATGTACATAATTATAGGCATATGTATATATCTCTTAAGGCATATTACTTATTAACTTTGAAAATTAACTCATTTTTAGCAAAGTATTTCATTCGTCGGTTATATCCTTTCAGAGGGTATAGTAAACATATTATAGAAGACCACTACAACTGCCATATAAAAAACGTGTGTTTGTGAGAGAAGCTTTTTTATTCTAAAGATATTTAAACCAACCAAACGGTACAAACTGCAGTTTCATTTGTATTGATAACTTTGACTGTACGTTGCATAGCATTAATTTATGTCCATACGTAGCTGTCGGTCAATAAATAAGTCTTTGTAAGAACAAAGTTTTAGATATATATGTACATATGTTTGTACATATATTAGTTAAATGCATTGTTAAAGCTTGCAACGCATTGGCACAAATATTACCTGTAACTAAGATCAATCGAGAAAACTTTTGGGATACCAAATATGGTAAATTCACAGCGTAATAGAAATCTACATATACATACAATGTGTACGTATTTATGTATGTATTTACATATATGTGCAGACTTGCGGACTTGAGCAGCTTGAGCATTTCTTTGGTTTATTATTAAAAAACCCTAAGTTATTTTCGGAAGCTATGCGATTCCAGCTAGACACCGTACAGACAATAGCTACTATTAAACAAACTTCTAAATGTACATAGGTACATACATTCGTACATAAATGCCGGGAAAAGCAACTTAAATTTGGCGGCATTTGTTTATACCTGGAAATATCGACCAAATTAGCTATCGATATACCGATATCAGACACAAACTCTTGTTTCAGCAACACTGGGTGTAGCTCGGCAACATGCTAAAAATATCTTTATATCTGTATATTTGTACCCTGTAAATGTCCATACCATATTATATATTCAATTATATACTTTTCGGGACATTATTACTACGAAAATGAGTTTAATGTACATTTACGGCTTATCGGTATATAATGGCGTACTTAATGAATATCATCGGTAAATTTTATTCAAGTTCTTAGGTATATTTGAGAATATAGGGTATCGAAAGACACATACGAATGTTTTCAATGTGTGTGCTCATATCTGAAACCTAAAAATGAGTGGAGAGAGTGGATGACCTAATCCTCTCTTTGGTATGTAACGGCAAGGCATGTAAAAGCATGTACAAATTTGTTTCAAGGATCCCACCTTTTTCGCACCTGTTGATGATAATAACAACTAAATATAAAATATAAAATATTATTTGACCATGTAAAATATATAGAAAAAAAAAAAATAAAATCAAATAATTTGAAAATTATGATAATTGATGATAGATGATAAATTGTTAAATATTGGGATAGGTCCTGACACAATAGCCGAATGTGTAAGCCTTCTTGAGTGGAGTTCACTCCCAATCTTTAAGTCAACTGATCATAGAATTAAAAGCGTTTATCATTTCATATAATTAATTAGACATTGAGGAGGGTTTTGTTTACAATATTATACATTACAGTTTAAAGCATAGTTAAAATGTAGATGCATATCACATAGTATTAGTTCATCAAAACCATGTATAAAAATGTGAACAATATTTGGGAAGCTTAAATCAAAACTAAGATAAATATTCATCGACCATCCTATAAAATATAATGTTTTCGCTTACAAAAGCGAATTCCAGGGTTCTTCTTCTCGTTCAAATGGTTTAACATTTAACTTAGTTTTCAATGCCATTATTATAATTATTCCAGACTAGTTTTTTAATCAAAATTATAGATTTCCTCTACTGGACCGAGCAATGATTTCTTCTTCTCTCATCCAAATATTAACTATATAAATTAAGCTTAATGAAGGTGACTTTTTTAATTTATTTTAATTTTTTTCGCTGTTTTTTTAAATCTTTGCATTATTTAATTGAACAGCAGATTCCGTGGGTATTCGACTAAAGTCATAAAAAACAAAGAGATGGACTGCAAAATTTAATAAGATTTATTCGGGTTTATAATGCTTACGTTCCAATCTATTCAAAAATGTATCAATTGCTTAATTCGAAAGACTGGAAGGGTCTCAAAAATATTTGTGATAGTGATGATACTATTTCATTGAACACAATGGGTGTAATATACCTTGCTGCCCTAGAATTTTTGTGACGTTTACCCGTGGTCGACACCCTAATTTGGCTCACCAATTTCGCAGATTTAAACTCGCTCGCATTATTACATACAGCATACATCCTGTAGTATCAAGTTCGTCAAGTCAATCTAAATATTTAAACTCACCTTAAAATGTGCAAGTGTCTGGCCGGTAACGTAGCGTGCTGGTAAGTAAAATATGTAAATACGTACATATAATGTACATGTTGTAAAATAAAGTGAGAATTAATATGTATTTACATATGTATCTACACAAGCACTTTAAATTTGTATGAAAAAAGATACACAAAGGAAAAGAAAGAGTGTTGAAGGTGTGATAAAAGCAATACCGATCACTGCCAATGTTTTGTTGTCAAATAACTTCGATTTGCAAGTAAGAATCATTCTGATAACATTCGTACATACACAAGTACACACACACTTAAAGGTATTACCATGGAGATATGAATATAAATAAATAAATAAACAGTATCTAAGCAACAGAATGTTGCTGATCGTGAAGAGTATGTATACATTTGTATCTACATACATCATACAATAAAATATGTATGTATGTACAAATGCATGCTGAATGGTCTGGGGGATGTTTTGTTCTGTGACGCGTTCAGGGTTTTGGCTTATTTAATATTCTCGGTTAATGTTCATTTTTACATTATGCCGCTTTTAATATACTTGAAACTCCTTACAACAAAATATCACTGTCTTTTAGTGGAAATAGAAACCAATTTAATTGAAAGTATCTCAGAATGGTGTTAAAAATTGGTACTAGGAACCAACCAAATTTATAAAACTGCAGAAGACGTCAAGACTGCTAGACCGAATTTTTTAACACCTAATTCAAAAACGAATAGTATTAAAGGATATTAGTGTATGAATATGAGCTCATAATTTATTATAGAGCGAAAATGGAGAACACTCTTATTAGTAAGTATAGTTTCCTATGGCTCCAGAGCATCTTGGCTCCAGACGGTCTTGGCTCCACTCAGACGCAATGAGTTCATTGTTTAGATGTCTAGCCATATGATGCTCCCCAGCACGCGACACTGTGTCGGCAGTGGCAAGTTTCACATTTCCGTTCGGGGTGGAAATTTCATTAGATACTTACAACATTTTATCCGCAATTTCAAAAGTGTATTACGTCATATTTATTAACATACATAAGCACATAAATACATTTATACATAAATATGTAGATTAATATGGCAGACTTAAAGCATTCAGGCTGGCCTAAATACAAACTATTTTGAAATACATACATAAATATGTATGTACATATGTACAAAAACATAACTCTACTTATTTCATATGAGAACCATGCACACTATTACATACATATGTAGGTTTTTAAAGTAGAAGCACTTTTAATAGGATTCGCGATCTGAGCCCCGGATCTTGATTCTATTTTAAAGTGACTAAGATATGCAGAGATCGCTATCTTATCTTCTTATTATTTATCTTCTGAAATGCATATAGTATATATATATATATTTCGAGAGTGGCAGAGAGAGAATGATTCAGATGCTTTATTCGTATAGTGAGCATAGGAAAAGGTTCATTAAATAATCTTTAGTTATTATATTTACTTTGATTCTCAACATTTTTCTGGTTCACTCTAAATTTGATTTTCCAATTCTTCGCACATACATATGAATGTATGTACATACATACGGATATACAGTTGTATGTACATATATACATATTTATTTAACTTTACGAGTCTAAGCACGCAAATCCACAATGGGACAACAGGAATGGGAGTGGAATATTTCTACGAGTACTAGTTGCAATTGGAGACAACTAACGGTGGGGAGAGAAGCCAACTAACAGTCCACTCTTTTTAATTAAGCATATGCCACGCATAAAAACATTTCCTTTACTGCTGATCCACTGGGAGATATGAAATTGTTCCATAAAACGTAGAAATACATGTACATCTACGTGGTTACATCAATTTACAAGAATTTATTATATATATTGCTAACTTAACACCGAGATCCGATGAAAAAGGAACCATCTCAAAAAAAAATTGTCAATATTTCCAAATTTGTATCTCGACTTTCATGCATTTAACGAAACTGACTTCTTAAATAAAATGCTTTTGTTTCTTTATCCTTTCAGCTGTTTTAATTGCGCACTTAGTGTGCTGATATCAATCATCAGCACTTTTCTAATCGTGTTTATTGTGGTTGGATTGACTGTGTACTTTGTTTACTATTACGAGAAGGAGGATGATGTGTCCAAGCTCAAAAACACGGTCACGGACAACTTCCAGTCAGGCCTTGACAAAATAAAAGATGCCCTAAGCAAGTAGTAGGCTACCATAAAGTATGTAAGTTGATAGAGTAACCAAAATCAAACCATTCAATTACTATTAATTCCATTTTTTTCTAGGTTATGCTACCAACCACCTAATACGGAGCCAAAATTATGATAATTTGCAAGCCTTTCCAATAATTACAAGTACAAAATGTCCGTGTTCCATTTAAATATTCCAAAAAGTCTAAATACAATAGATATATACACATATGCACATGTGTATAACCTCAAATATTTACACATTTTAAATACAGCAAAAATGCGAATTCAGTTAAATATAACAAAATCTTTGTGTAAGCATTTAAAGTACGTTTCTCAAAAAAATTAACTGAACTGAGTAACTTAATAATACTAAGTCAACCATCCACCGCATCAAATTAAATGATGCCCACAAACTAAGAATTATTCTTGCGATTGTTTATCTCTTGTATGTTTAAATCGATTAAACGTATTTTAACTAAAAAAAATAAGTTCAGTATGGGACATCCTAATAAAAATGTATTCTATGCATTTTCAATGAATAATTTCATATATTTATCTAAATATTATTTATATTAAAAGCGAAGTAAAGAAACGTAGTGTTTAATGTTTTATTTTCTTTGAAAACACACAGTGGTATTCCTATTCTTCCCTTTGATCGGTTACGATTGAGCTCATGCCTAGCTTCTGGTCAAAAGCTTCCCTTTCCATCTGGTCTTGATCGTAAACTCGTGGAAGATGTTTGGATATTTTCCCGTAGGCCTAGAATTCTGCAGGTGAGCAGCGGTTATGCCTGTTCAAAAACCTCCTGCTGTTAATTTTAATGCAGCCAGATGGGCCAAGCCGTAATTCTACCAAAAGGCAATTAAAACGAGAAGGGACGCGTGAGACGCTTCTTACGCGTCACAACTTTTATACCCGGCACTAAGTACTACATCTGCACCTTAGCGGTTATTTGTCAAATTTTACATTTTTTCTTCATCCGTCATCTACACACACAGCCACACACTGCAGAGTCAGGGCAGCGGCGTTGCAGAGGCAGAGGTAGAGACGTGTCTGCGGTTTTATAGTGACAGAAAATCACCTTTATCTTTGGTTAAATTAACTTTCATAGAGTCTTACCACAATTTTTAACCATGATCCTTGGTTGGTTTAAATATTTTGACGTCAAGACGTCAAGACTGCTAGACCGAATTTTTTAACACCTAATTCAAAAACGAATAGTATTAAAGGATATTAGTGTATGAATATGAGCTCATAATTTATTATAGAGCGAAAATGGAGAACACTCTTATTAGTAAGTATAGTTTCCTATGGCTCCAGAGCATCTTGGCTCCAGACGGTCTTGGCTCCACTCAGACGCAATGACTGTGAATGAGATAATGTGCAAAAAACAAATATAGACTGCNGTTAAAAATTGGTACTAGGAACCAACCAAATTTATAAAACTGCAGTTCTGCAGTTCTGACGATCTGGCTTAAAAAATTGTGGATTAAGTTTTTGCTTATCATAATTTCCTATAATCACATACTTATACTCGAGTATATTTATTATAGAGCGAAAATGGAGAACACTCTTATTAGTAAGTATAGTTTCCTATGGCTCCAGAGCATCTTGGCTCCAGACGGTCTTGGCTCCACTCAGACGCAATGACTGTGAATGAGATAATGTGCAAAAAACAAATATAGACTGCGGAACGGGGTGGGTTTAGCCACTGGAAATTCATTTCTTCATTGTGGCTATAATAATGATCCAATCGGATCCCAATTTAGTGATCTGATAGATATGGCCATTTCCTACGGAATCGCGCTTTTAGTTTTCTTTTATCTTCTTTTATCTGTAGATTTGGGAGGTTTTCGCCCTTTTGCGTGGGCGGAAGGGGCGGGGCTAATTTTTGAAACACACTGGTTTCAGTGTGAGCATATAGCAGTCTGGATGCAAAATTTAGTGGCTCTAGCTCTTATAGTCTCTGAGAACTAGCCGACAAACAAGACGGACAGACAGACATGGCTCTTTCGACTCGTCTATTGATGCGATCAAGAATTTGTATACTCTATGGGGTCGGAAACGTTTCCTTCTGTGCGTTACATACAACCGTTATTCGCACAAATACAATATACAATACAATATATTTACAATACAATATACAATATATTTAATAATATACAATATACAATACAATATATTTACTCTTCGAGTACCGGGTATAATAACGCAGGTATAAAAGTGAAAACTCCTAAGGCGTTCGTAGCAAATTTGGTACAATATTGGGGTCGTGGAAAACCCTGTTGATCTAGTGAAACAATTAAATCGGATTCGGATTCAGCGAATATTAAATATAAGGTACACATGGTCAGACCCCCAGGTCACAGTCAACATATTTATACCCGGTATTCGAAGAGTGGCGTTTCAGTACTTACAAAGGATTTTACGGCGTATTTTTGGCATCAGTTTATGTTGGGAAAGAATGCATTTCCCTGGAAATGAATAATACCTCCAGTGAATCCAAATGCAAACAACGCTAAAGGCAATACTTAATAAAATCGATATATTAAAAACCATTTTGAAGCCATCGACTCGATTAAATTGTACCAGGCTCCCATAATATGATGCGGAAGCCTCGTGCACGTTCCGCTGATTGCTGCCAATCGTTCGACGACTTCGATTTGGACCCGATTGTATGTATTATGTGTATGTATGTAATTATGTGTGCATACTCGTATTGGGTCCTTCTGTGTTTTGGAGCAAAGTTCACTAGAACCTGCGCAGTGACCGGGATTCTCTCAGGAATGTAATAGAATAACAAGGAACAGGAAAAAACAAGAAATTAGAGAGTAAGAGAGTATTTCTCGCTTTATCTCCCACGTTAACCACATAGTATGACAGGGATGGTTGGCATTAACCTATCCCACTGAAGTAGGGATAAGAACTTTCATTTTTGAGTTCTAAGCGCCTGGTAAGAGCGTCACTAAGCATTTTTGAAGCAAAAGGAACATCACGTACCACGCAATACTTACATTCTATGTACTTTCCTTTAGAACAATAATAATTATACTCGGATCCTGTACCTGATTCATCATGAAGTTTAAATCGTCGTCGTCACTTTTGGATGACAGAATTATTCTTTGTGCAGAAATCTATTTCAAGTGTTTACAGAGTATTTCTCCATCGCTCCAAATTCTCCATCGCCTACATGAAATAATTGTTTTGTAAATGTTTATTATATCATCCTATGTTGGAGAGCATCGCTGGTTCTATCGATGTTTGTGCAGCCCTAGTCTCCAGCTGTTCTAAAATTTTCAAATTAAAATATAAATTAAAAAAACAAGAGTTAATGTGTTCCTCCATATTAGGGTCGAATGGCATGGCACAATCTCGGATAATTGTGAATGACGACTATGAGCACCCAGATAATATAGAATATATTTTAGAATCTGTGTTGATGCCCAGTGAGGACAGCTTAGATTTTATTCAGCTAAAGAACGAGTACAACTCTTTAATATTACACCAATGTCAATGCGATAAAGGCGACTGCTCAAGATGCTCACACGGAGGTGCTTATGAGTACTGCCCAAAAGGTAAAGAATTGATTCAAAGGCAAAGTAAAGAAAGCTGCAGTATCCCTATTTTGGAGTGCAATAGTTTATGTGACTGTCGGCTAGACTTTTGCACAAATCGACTTGTGCAGTATGGTCCACGAGAAAATTTGGAAGTGTTTAATTCGGCCACCTTCAAATCCAAAGGTGTGCGTACGAAAGTAAACATTCCTTGTGGTGCCTTCATCTGCGAATATGCAGGAGAAATACTAACCATTTCTGAAGCCAAACGACGCCTAGTTAACAATAAAGAGCTGGAGTGCATGAATTATGTCTTAGTACTTAACGAATACACTAAAACCGATGACTGCCGTGAGGAGAAACGACAAGTCACCATCGTAGACCCTTCAAGGCGAGGAAACATTGGACGCTACATTAACCACAGCTGTGAACCAAACTGTCAGATAGCGGCGGTGCGAATAGACTGTCCCATACCAAAAATATGTGAGTTTAATTAACTTTTTACAAATTAGCGAACAAATGCATGTATATTTTTAAAGGTATTTTCGCAGCACGCAATATTCATGCTCACGAAGAACTGTGCTTTCATTACGGTGGAGAAGATCAACAAGTAGATCAAGCAAGTGATAGCAAGACTTGCCTCTGCACTGCTGATAGTTGCGCTGGTTTTATGCCAAATTCTGCAATAATATAGTTTATAACAACCTGAGCTATGTGCGATAATAATTACATTTCCACTTACCCCTCACAGTTTATTGAGTAAATCGTTTTCAAGTGGAGGCAGTTTTTCTAGTATCCATTGCTGTAGTTCCAGGAGCGACGACTTTTTTAGCTCATGCAGTGTATTTTTCAATGGATTGAATGTACCATTGACACCTAACGTTTGAAGAGATTCAAAAGTCTCAAGGCCCCATTCGAGCGGCACCATGGTATCGCGCTCTCAATGGAACATTCGGAGCTCTGGAAGATCTTCTTTCTGCTGGGAACCTGACTGCAGGGATTCATAGACGATGGAGTTACGGTTGAGAAAAGAAGAGTGCGCAAAGACACCAGCTAATCCATAATTCAAATGGTATCCCGTGTGCAAGGCCAACGCACCACCCATTGAAAAGCCCCCAACAATTATGCGGTTGGCCGGTATGCCCTTTGTGACCTCTCCTTCGATAAGCTGATGAACGTTTTCGTAACATTGTGACATGCTCTTTTTGCTTTCCTGTGCCGCAATGTTTACCGAGCGACGATCGAACCAAACATTGGACTCTTGGCCGTTCAACGGAGTGTACTTTTGCATTGGGGCTGTTGGATAAATGACTTTTATATGCGGGTACTCCAAATTCCGTCCCAGCAGAAAGCGCACCCATTCCAATGCATTCGGACCAGTATCCCCGGAGCCATGGAAAAATATTACAGATGCGCTTTGCTTGCTCGTTGCATTTATCGTCGTTAAAGCAGGTTTCATCTTTATTCTTTTGTTTTTTGTTTTGTTTCTTTACTTTTGCACTGTTTGGCAATGTGACCGCGGAACTATCGATAAGATATATCGATAGATCCTCGGAAATATTCCGAATATACCCTTTCATTTTCAAAACACCGCAATAACACGAAAATCACAGGCAAAAATGTTAATATTTTGAGTAACAAAATAGTTGTGAAGTGCAATAAGTACAGTACTGGAATTTACTTTCTTTAAATTATTACCGATTTGTTGTATTATTTGGAAATATCGATGTTTTAGGCAGCCCTAGTAAAAAACACATGTAAGCTGTTCTTTTCCAACACCTGTCAGCCTGTTTACACTTTGCATTGAATATTTTAATGAAGATTCAGAGTGGCGAATAAATCATAAATTTTGTGAGTGGAATTAAATATAACAAGTAACAAAAGTGAATATCTAGTTTAAGAATGTGCGTTCCATTAGTAAACATTGAAGGAGAGGTTGAAGGAAACACAAAACAAGAGAACTGTATACCATTCATATTCATACCCATATGTATGTACGTACATACCAAGCTATTTCAAAGTTTACAGAACTTGCATATATTTAACAGACAGCTGTTGAGCACACGGCAGTACATATGTACATTTATTTATATAAAACCAAAGTTCAACGGTACCCTTCCAAACACGCGCTGATTACGTTATTTGTGTATCACCTACACGGATGCATACATGTGTATAGTTATGCACATACATGTATGTATGGATGAATTTGAACGAGTTTTGCCTCCTCACAATGATTCGGCAGTAATTTTCACACTGTTTTCCCTAATATACACGCACACACTAAATACATACATATATATGCACGTATATGTACATGCAGAACAACAATTGAATATAAAAGTAAGATTATAGAAGAAGTTTCTACTATTTAAATAAAAACAGCTTCAACAAATACCTCGTTCTCATCAAGTTTTTTCCTGTACTTCCCGCACATCCGTACTTACAGTCAGGCCTGATTTTTCTTTTAATTCTAATAAGAATAGATCGGTTTATTAAAAGTTTATCATTTCCCAGTCAATATTGAAAAAAAACCCAGCTGCTTATGCAATTTGGTCTATGGATAAATGAATGGAAGTTACCTTAAATGATTTTGTTAGGAATTACAACAGAGCTACGAAATTGAAAATACATAAAGCACCTGCAATTGGTTTTTACCATGGTTGCTTATGTTTATAAACATTAATCTCAAATACTTTTTTCGACTCTTTTACATAGATACGAAAGTATTAAAATAAATGACTTCCGGTAAAGTTAATAATAACAAAAAAAAATATACGGTTAGATTTTTTTAATTGAAGAATTATTAGACTAGATTATTATGTAGTTCTTTCTGGAAAATAGCCCCGCCACCGTTCATTCATGTCAAGAATACTTATCGCATTGTAGTGAAAATGAGTTTTTATGAGCACACATACATACATTTGTCTGTATACATACATATATGCATTTATTCGAAAAAAGAAATACACCTGTCACCGAACAACTCATGTGAGTAAGCATGATAATGCTTTTAGTAAATCTGGTAGATAACTTCGTTTTGTTTTCATAAGGGGGGCGCACACTAGGTGAACGGACTTCCAGAAATCAGTTGACTTACTCTCCCTCTGCGTACCGTACGCGTGATCGTCAGAGCGGACTGTCGAATCAAATAGTTTCGCTTTCGTAGGGGCTCTCGTTTTTAAACAGCTGTAGCCAACGATAATAGCCTCGCAAATACTCTGAGTTTGGAGATTTAATCAGTGTACAATATACATATTCGGTTTGATGCATTATTCTGTTATAAATATATGTACATACTTACGTATATGTACATATTTCTGTGATCCTTTGTATTAGAGGAACTACTGATTAGTCAATATATCGTGCAAGTTCCTCAAGTGATTTAATAAGAGCCAAATGCAAATGCAGTATGAAAATTGTACACCCGAACGTTCCCCTGTCCCGATGACATCCCCGCTGCTTAATATGTGCACCCGCCAACCCGACGGTTCGTTTCTTTGGATTTGTATAAAAGTGCTGTGTGCTTAGTAATTATTCTCGCGCGGTAACAAAAAAAAACCACTGAGCATGACTCTTCGAATCACGAATCAAGCTCTCTTACCTTACATTCTAAAACAGCCACAATGATTGGCAAAAATGTTCCAACAAATTCTTGATTGTGTACAGTGGAGACCCATCATAACAGCATTGATCATGTTATTTAGCTTTAAATTTCAAAGCAAATTTAATTATTAATTCTATGAACTCGGATGAGTACGCGTGTCTTTTTATATATCTCAAAGTCAATGATATTTTGATAGTAGACAGTCTGTTGCTGAAAAGATAACTGCAAAACTAGTTTGCGTTGAATATAAATCCGGTTTGTAATATTATGTGTGTGTTTTATTTTGTCACGCAAGGCAAGAAGAATGCGTTTTGCACTATTTGATTGTTTTCCTTTTGCAAAGAAACCGTATCATCAGGTTAATCTGGCAATAACCCTGGCCATTCTAGCTGAAAAGTATTCTTAAGATCTCTACAAAGTGGCATCTTGTACATCTAAGATGTACATTTCATACATACATACATACATACATACATACATAAAGTATGTTATTCACAGGGTACGAGGTAGAGCTCCGTCTGCTGAATCCGCAGTAAACGAGTATATTTCAAGAGTTTTATAACTTGGCTTCAAAATTAAGGAATGAATGACCTAACAATAAATTTTATCGGTGTATTATTGGTCCGTTGGATTTCAGAGATTGAGATGAACAGCCATTCAGAAAGTTGTTCCATCTCAACCGCATGCGGACGGTTCGATTCGGTGCACACCCCCATAGATGACCACGATGCCACGGACGATGACATGACATTTTGCATGTCAAACTACGCCAAGGAAGCTCTGAAGATGATGTTCATGATGCGCTCACACGGCATGCTCACCGACGTCGTGCTGGAGGTAAAAAAGGAGCTCTTTCCCGCCCACAAATTAGTGTTGTCCGCAGCATCACCTTATTTCAAAGCCATGTTTACTGGTGGCCTAAAGGAGTCTGAGATGTCGCGCGTGCAGCTTCAGGGGGTAAGCTAATATCCACGGTGAGCCTCATCATGTTTGTTTAATAGATGAACAGTTTTCCTCTTTGGTTTTTGTAGGTTTGTCCTACAGCAATGTCCCGAATTTTGTATTTCATGTACACCGGACAAATTCGAGTAACCGAAGTAACCGTTTGCCAACTCCTGCCTGCAGCGACTATGTTCCAAGTGCCAAATGTAATTGATGCCTGCTGTGCCTTCTTAGAGCGACAACTAGACCCAACAAACGCTATCGGCATCGCAAACTTTGCGGAGCAGCACGGGTGCGTGGAGCTTCAAAAGAAAGCCAACGTATTCATTGAAAGGAATTTCACGCAGGTAAGTAACCCAATAACGCCATCAATCACCTTCTTAACCGGGAACATTGTTTGTTTAACCCAGGTGTGTCAAGAGGAAGAGTTTCTGCAACTTTCGGCATATCAACTCATTGCGCTTATTCGAAGAGATGAGTTAAACGTGCAGGAGGAGCGCGAGGTTTACAATGCTGTGCTTAAGTGGGTAAAGTACGACGAGGACAATCGACACAGCAAGATGGAACACATACTGGGAGCCGTCCGATGCCAGTTCCTAACGCCCAACTTCCTCAAGGATCAAATGAAGAACTGTGATGTTTTACGCAGAGTTCCGGCGTGTCGCGAGTATCTTGCGAAGATCTTTAAAGACCTAACGTTGCACAAGTGCCCGGGAGTAAAGGAGCGTACACCGAACACGACGCGTATGATATTTGTTGCGGGCGGTTTCTTTCGACACTCTCTAGACATTTTGGAGGCGTATAATGTGGACGATAAGACCTGGACTACTCTACCAAACTTGCGGATTCCACGATCCGGCCTCGGCGCAGCTTTTCTTAAGGGAAAGTTCTATGCAGTTGGTGGCCGAAACAATAACATGTGCTCCTCCTACGACTCTGATTGGGTGGATCGTTATAGTGCCATAAGCGAGACATGGCGTCCGTGTTCGCCCATGTCCGTGCCGCGTCATCGAGTGGGAGTTGCCGTTATGGACGAACTGATGTATGCTGTGGGTGGCTCTGCAGGCATGGAGTATCACAGCACAGTAGAATAGTGAGTATCGAGTGAAGATTGCCAATCCCTCATTGTGCTCAGCCAAAGTCTAAATATTTGCAGCTATGACCCCGACCTCGATCGATGGACGCTTGTTCAACCAATGCATTCCAAACGCTTGGGTGTGGGAGTAGTGGTAGTCAATCGCCTGCTTTATGCGATCGGCGGCTTCGATGGTAACGAACGATTGGCCAGCGTTGAATGTTATCACCCAGAAAACAACGAGTGGAGTTTTTTACCGCCACTTCAAACTGGTCGCAGTGGAGCGGGTAAGTGGAATAAATACATTTCTAATCTGTATATCTGTTATAATGACATTTGTGTTTTTAGGTGTGGCCGCTATTAATCAATTCATTTACGTAGTTGGTGGCTTTGACGGTACTCGTCAATTGGCCACTGTGGAACGCTATGATACCGAAAATGAGACCTGGGATATGGTTGCACCCATACAAATCGCACGCAGTGCACTCTCTCTTACACCGCTCGATGGAAAGCTGTACGCCATTGGTGGTTTTGATGGCAACAACTTTTTGTCCATCGTTGAAGTATACGATCCCCGCACAAATACATGGGTGAAGGGTACGCCTCTGAAGTCGGGTAGATCTGGTCATGCCTCAGCTGTTATCTATCAACCTGCAACCTGTGCCAATTCATTTATGGACTACGAGGAAAGCGAGATGCCAAGGCGGGATGGAAGCAACGACGATACCGATAGGGACTTATCACGAGGTCCGTGTGGAAGCCGAAGTCCGCATTTTGCAGAGAACACACCCATGCAATTTCACACGTCCTTTGGAATGAGTGGTTGTCACAATTGTGAGTCGGAAATAGAAGTTAAACAAGTCGTAACTTCTGGCACACAGGAGCTGCGGAAGCCAATATTCTGGGGACAAATACTACAGTGTAAATCTCGAGGAAATACACCTTTACCTATGACAGACCCTCTTGGCGCTACAAGAATATCCAGCAATATACCTCCCATCAGGGATGATAAGGCGCGAACAAGATGCATACTCAGTCCAGTACGTACAGCAGCAAAAGCTATACACAGCACAATTGAATGGCGACTTCGCAAGCTCGCAGCAGCCACATGACAGCTATAAAACGAACCGCATAGCCCCAACCAAAATCAATATTCATTGTACAAAGACTATTTTGTATCACTTAGAATTCCATTTTGAAATGCATTCCATTGAATTAGTATGTGAGGATTTAGATATGTGGTTTGCACAAACACTTCATTTGTTGTATGTCCCTTAAGTGATAATTATGTTTTATGGCATCCATAACATTAACGGCGTATGTCAGCCCATTGTTCTAAGATTGATTAGGGTTAGTAACTTAGCTATAAAACCGTATTTGACAAATTTTAATTTTAAAACCCACAATAATGAAATGATTGTTTTCATTATATAATAAAATTGTCCTATATGCTACCAGTCATTCATCAATTAACTTTTTGGTAGTTTTTATTATATTGTTTAATTTTATTTCAGACGATTTTAATGGCTGTAACTTAAAGACTCCTCTGCTTTCGAGGTCGCGGTGGATTCCATGAAACTTGTGTGTTATCGGTAATAGAGACTATATTTAATCCACCCATTTGCAGCCCCTTAATAGCCGACTGCAAGCAAATAAAGCAATTTGTTGTATTATGTATGACAGGTGGAATTTGCAAACCTACCATTCGTCCAGGCCCGAGACCACGAACCTTCACTCGAATCGTTTTCCAACCCAATTCAATGGCTTTCTGCAATCAGAGATGTGGGTTTTTCTATGGTACAAATGTACATTCACATTAGAATATGAAACAACTCACTGCGCTTATGCTTACGGCCGTCGCTTGTGCGGCAATGTTTGTCCCCTTCCTGGTATTTTTAAATCCTTCAATACCGCAAGAACGAATTAGTCTAGGTACGCCTAAAACACGAAGTGTAACTAATATAATTATATAATAATATATTATTAAAGCATGCCTTTGTAGTCCGTCACTGAAATTATTGTGTTGTTGGGAGATACGCGAATGTTACAAACCGGCAACTCGTTAAAGGGCATTCCATTAAATAGCTGAGTGGCTAAGGTTGCATCGGGAAAGAATTTGGCCTTTCTGTAGAACGACAGACTATTATTTATAATTTTTGTTGATTTGAAGACGCTTTGCTCGTACCGGTTAATAAGTGTATCAATATCCACAGACTTTTCGCCAACAGTTCCCTCGTCTTTAGCGGGCAGCGACGCCAACATTTCCTTGCGGTCTTCTGCCTTTCTGGAGCACGCGCTTGTGTGAATGTGTGAAGAACTTAATGACCCTAAAGGCAAAGTAGCCCGCTTAGCAAAGCTAACAGCACTTAAAATCGCCCTTTTAATATACATTTTTAACTTCAACAAACATATGGTGGCATACAAGTTACATCATTTCCAGTGTGACCGCGATAATACCAAAATATTCCATCTCATTTTCATAAAATACCGAAAACATACCGACGAAAATAAAATTTCTAGACTGTTATACTGGTATATCCCTGTTTACGAAAGTAAACACCTGTTGGCTATTTCAGATATATTATTGGTTTATGATTGAAGGTATTATTAACTTTACTCTGATTGGCCCAGTTCACAGCCTTCTGAAACTGGCCAACACCTATAGATTATGACTACTTACTTTAACTTTAAATTCGATCACATAATTTATTTAAATATACCACACACTGAATGAAATATACCATTGAATACCCATAATAGACTATTTATACCCGTTTCAGTATGTTTGTTATAGCTCGCAAGAGTGACCATCTCCTGCTTGCTTTCGCACGTGTTCTATAAGAGCCAAAATAAAGTTGTAATTATTGGAAATGGCTCTAAAACGGTTGAAGAGTAAGAAATTTGCCTTGCAGTGTTTGGATCATCTCATAATCGTTTTTATTGCAGCTAAGAAATCAAAACGATTGACGGGCCGTCTCAGGCACAAAATTGACAAAAAGGTACGTGAGCACAACAGGAAGGAACGTCGCGTTGCGAAGAAAAATCCGAAGAAAGGTAGCAAAAAACAAAAACTCATTCAGGTACCGAACATCTGCCCATTCAAAGATGACATACTCAAGGAAGTTGAGGAAGCCAAGGAGCGTCAAGAAGCCGATAGGCAGGCTCGCCGCGATGCTTTCAAATTAGAACGAGAACAGAATAAATTCAAGTCCCTGGAAACTATGGTAGAAGACGCGGACATGCGGAGCACAGTCCATGGAGCGATACACGAAAATGATTCAGTTGACGACAACCAAAAGAAGTACAAGAATGCAGTCAAAAAGGAACAGTCTTTGAAGCAATACTTTAAAGAATTCCGTAAGGTCATTGAAAATGCCGACGTTGTCCTGGAAGTAGTCGATGCTCGTGATCCTCTCGGAACGCGATGCAACGAAGTAGAACGAGCCGTCCGAGGATCGCCTGGCAACAAACGCCTTGTACTTATACTGAACAAGGCTGACCTGGTGCCTAGGGAAAATCTAGACAACTGGATTAAGTACTTCCGGCGCATAGGTCCAGTGACTGCATTTAAAGCTTCCACACAAGATCAAGCTTCTCGCTTGGGTCGCCGCAAGCTTTACGACATGAAATCCGCTAAGGCCATGCAGGGATCGGTCTGCATTGGAGCTGAGCTACTAATGTCCATGCTGGCCAACTACTGCCGAAACAAAGGCATCAAGACATCGATTCGCGTGGGAGTTGTTGGCATCCCAAATGTGGGCAAGAGTTCAATAATCAATTCGCTGACCCGAGGAAGGTCGTGCATGGTGGGCAGTACCCCTGGTGTAACAAAGTAAGTATTCTGTCTCATTATGATATTAATTACATTTAATTTACCTTTGTCTTCGAAAACAATAGGGCCATGCAGGAAGTCGAACTTGATTCGAAGATCAAGCTGATTGATTGTCCGGGTATTGTATTTACGAGTGGAGCTGAAAATTCCCATGCCGTGCTTAAGAACGCTCAACGCGTTGGTGATGTAAAAGATCCGTTCACAATTGCGGAAAGCGTTTTAAAAAGGGCCAGCAAAGAATATTTCTGCTCTATGTATGATATTACAAGCTACGACACCTTTGAAGAATTCTTTGCAAAGAAGGCTGCCAGAATGGGTAAGTGCGTTGATTTTACAACCTGTTGCGTACTAACCTTTCTATTTATAGGAAAATTCTTAAAGAAAGGGGTACCTGATGTTGTGGCTGCTGCGCGAAGTGTGCTCAATGACTGGAACACGGGCAAAATTAAATATTGCACACAACCTCCCGAAGTAGTGGATTCCCAAAGTGTACACATTAGTGCCTCGATAGTACACGTCGAGGCCCGCGAGTTTGATGTGGATAACTTTGAGTCCATGGAGACAGATATACTAGAACAATGCACTGTCAAAACAGATGACGTTATGGAGATTGCATGTACAGGTTCTCTGGAGATTAGGAAACCTCGAGAGGAAGATGATACGGCAACTGATATTCCAGCAAGTCTAGTTATAAACGAGAAGGACAAGTCATTGAAAGCTCGTAAAAGAAAATTGGGTGATGAAAAAGAAAAACCAGACCCCGCACTGCTTTTAGAAGGTAACTGCCCCATAACCATTTGTCGTGACAGTAATATGCTAATATTTTTTTAACACAAACTCTTGTTTTTAGAAAATCAATCGATCAACAAATCTATTAAAGAAGTGCAAAAGCGAAAGAAGAAGCAAAATGTGCGCAATGAGAAGAAAATCTCAAAAATTACAGATGTACTGGATAACTTTAGCCTGGGTTCGGGTTCATCTACTTCAAAGGCAGATAAATATGATTTCGATCAGGATTATGTAATTGAATAAATTATCTGCATTATCTAATATAATAAATAAAACTACAATACGGGTGACATTTTATTCCTCTGGTGTATTTGCTTTTTTGTAAAGGATCTTCCAACGTTTTCCAAACACACGGTTCGCAAAATTGTTCATTGAAAAACGGTCGAGTTTTGTAAATATATTGAAATTGCATTTAAATATGTTGAAACTTAACAGTATAACTGCAGTGATTATATATTTGATCATATTTAAGCTACGATGGTACATCTGTCTCATTGAAATTTAAAAGACTGGACAAATCAGCTCAGTTATTTAACTTAATTTATTATTTTACACTTTGTTGGACTCGTGTCTTAAATTATATACCATTTAATTTAAGCCCATTCCTCTGAAGTCTCCTGTTATTCAACACTGAGAAGTTTAAACAAAGTTGTTATCGGGTTTGAATTAATCTTAGCCCATTAATGCAGGCTGCCACACGGTTTGTTACATGTACATGGATACAATACTAATTCCAGCGCACGGATTTGTAATGCCACACCCAATGCTCATATTTACATTTCTTGGATCTAGAAATGCAACTGAAACGGGCGACATTTAAACACGAATAGACTTTAGATAAAATCCCCAAACTGACAGCTAGACAATTTTCATATGGTGTTTGTTTAAGGGTATTATGAAATTGGTCGGATCTTGTCACTATATAAAGCTTCCACAGGAAGAATTGGTCAAACATTTATTTATAAAGAAACCAACCAAACGTTTGTATTTGCCAGCCTAAAGGGTATTTTTACTGATCGTCGAACTATATGGAGGTATGTAAAAATCAGCATGCCGAGGTCAGATTTTGAAGGGAAGAGATGTCTACTACTATCGGTAAATCAAAATGAAAAATCGTCAAAATATCAACATAAAATATAAAAATGTTTGAACATGACGTTGGCTAGCTCCGAAAAAATTCTATCCGTGGACGCCAGAATTTAGAATGGAAACTAATGTGTATCTATGTACATATGTATGTATATATGTTTGTATGTACATGCAGTTCTCTTAAAATTGTTTAATTTTAATAATGTTTTACCTCAATTAATAGGGGTAGGAGCGTTCAACAAGGTTCCATATTCGTTTCTAGTTAAACTGAATTGGCGCAATGTGTTTGCATATGTCTAAATAATTTAAATATTTAATATATGTTTGTCAGACCTACTCGCATAGACCTATGCGTCGGTACATATGTACATATGCACTATGTGTGTATATTTAGAGTGAATCACAGTATTTAAATTTTACCTATGTATACATGTTTAACAATCATTACCATATATTTACTTAAATTCAAGCTCCCCCACTCATAGACTCCTCCCTTAATGCGAATCTAATGTTTTATAGCTTAATTTCGATGTGCCTACTTCCAGTTAATTGAAACATTTTAAGAAGCTATTCATGTAAACATTTTAAATGATTTCTTTGCAGTCCTTTGTGGTTCCAAATGATTGGTTGTTTGATGGCTTATCGGCAGCTCGGTATTCGCAGCTTCAAGCTCTTCATTCCCGTGGTTGCATCTGTATCTGTAACCAGCCAAATTTTACCACATAACGTGGTCAACAACTTTTGCACCTTGCGCAGCAGTTGGCGCGAGCGTTGCAAGTCTCCTTCACTCCGCCAAAAACACTGTTGGTCAGGACAAAGAGGTTCGGCCAAATAGGGCGCTGCTGGTGAAAATACTGTCGTAAGGGCCAGCAGCAAGTACTGTCACCGCAGGTGGCTGAAGTGCACTTCCAGCCAGCAGGGGCAGCCCATGATATCCTGCCGTTTGTATGTATGACCCCAGCCCTTGACAAAGCTTATTTTCATGCTAAATCGGTCGATGGGTCCCAATGGATGATTTTGAGACCGTTTTGTGAGCAACAGTTGAGCCCTATAACAATACAAATTTAGAACTTTGTTTTTCCAGATAAAAATATGAAATTTTGTTTAACCTGGTAGTTTCGAAGGCCTTCAGACAGTAACCAGGCATTACTTTACAGACACGGTCCAAATGTTCGGCTAGTGTTGGAGAGTCCACAAATATTGGCACGTTGCCTCGATTGTAAATCCAAACATCGCCGCTTTCAAGGCTCAAAGTAACTCCTGAAATGTACATGGAAACAACATCACTTAAAAAGTCGCCGCATAAGTATTTACAATTTTTGTTTACCTAGCCCGACTTTTTGACGTGTATTTTGGACAGCGTCAGAGTGAGGTCCCCTGCCCACTGAGGTTAGTTCTCGGAGGCACATGCTATCTCCACCACTGTCCACAATCCCATCTGTGTAGATATTAACAGTTGTCTTTCTGGCGTGAAAGAACTCTCCAACTCGATGAGAAAGCTCCCAATAAGCAATTTGGCACCAACCCCTAGTGTTGACTGTGTCACCTGAAATAAGAGAGAAGATATAGAATTTAATTAATGATTGCATTTAAATGAAACCTTTATTATTTTCAGACAACTTCTGGTTAATGATCTGGGGTTTCCATTAGAATTTTATAGTCCTGAAGTACATAGTTTCGATTAGCTCTCTTTCGCTCGAATGTTTATGGGTACATGGTGGGTATGTAAGGAAGTGTATCTATAGCGTCGGCATGCCTTACTGCTGCTTTGCTCCGAGAAAGAATACCCTCGGAAACGGCATAAATACATGGTTGAATTTTTTGTTTATTTCTATTTTTAACTGGCATGTCACCAAATTGTCGTAAAGCCGCAACTTAACGGTCCATTTAAATGTAATAGTTCTCCGTCATTTTGTCGCCAGTACATGCCATAAAAAATCAAATACACATTTAACATACACATCCATCATACATCCATATGAGTATACACAGACACTACACATTCTGGTCAGTTTCACTGTTTCGTCGTCCGACGCCGTCGTTGGGTGGGCACTGAATGCCATGATATGAATGATATCATAGCCCCATTGACGTGGATGTACGGGGGCGCCAGGTCTTCCCCGGTGCCCCGCACTCAAACCGTTCTCCGTTCTACAACACTCTTGTAAGCAGGCGCAAAGATTTGTTGTTGGTTGGTTTGGCGCCGTCGGCACCGCCAACTCACCTCGCTCCGCCGATCAGTCGCATTCGTTGGTGTTTGTTTTTCGCTCATTATTTATTTTCATTTCGCTTTTGCTGTTTTCGCTTAAAAGTTAATATCAATATAGAAAGTGACGGGCTGACGCGGCAGCCAGGCGCCACGAACAACTTGTCCTCTGTCGCGGCCGGCGTACCAATCACACGCACGCGAGCGCAGATGTTTCGGGTAATCTCTGTAGGTACATTTGTATGTACATATGTATTAATGTACAACCGTTAATATAAAAGAAAACTCTCCAATTGAAATAATCACCCACTCTCTTTTTTTAAATAAATATAGTAGAGCGCCCTCCGATAAGTGAGAAGTGTCGTAACGGCCAAAAGCAATCTCACCTTTTCCTTCAGTGGTAAACGACTCTAGACTGGGGCCAAGAAACTGCGATTCCGCTTGCTTGAAGGTGCTGCTCGAAAAGCTGTTGCTTTGCAGGCTCCACGTGGTCGGTGCTGACTTTCTGTCGTTTTGGGAGTCTTCTTCTTCGGAATCTAAAAGGGCGAAACGCTCAATTTTAGACGGGATTCTCGACTGAGCCGCTGTTACTCACCTGCATCTTTCAGTCGCAGCATTTTTGAACGGTGGTATGGCGGAACTGAAGAGTCTGAAATGATATTAACAAATATTTGATGTTATTGACTTGAATATATGTTATGTAGAGAGTTCACGTAAATATTGTTAAATCAAATACATAGCTGTCATTGGAACGATATAAAATGCGAAGACACACATAAAGATGTAAGTGTATAGGGTGCCATGGTGCCAAGCTGCAGGTTCTCTAAACTTGTTTTAGTTTCTTGACTAACTGTATTTTCAATTGAATAGAACCAAATATCCTTGTACTTATATAAGTTCTAATTAAAATCGAAAATCCTTGCCTTTTGATTTTTAAACCATTTTAGCTACTCAAAACTTCGGGTTATGCTTCGTATATATGCGAGTCTTTGGGACGGGTCGTGTGATGAGATCATGGTTCACAAACCTAATACATACTAGTATTATAATATTCGTTCAGCAAACCCATTTCAATGCGAAACCAAGAGAACAGCAAAAGCAGCAAAAACAATACGCAACACAAAAAAAAATCTAGCGTAGGCAAGCTAAACATCAGCCCCTCGAAATAAAAATAAATAAATAATCTTTTCCTATCGGCCAAAAGCAGCAGAGAGGGGTGACATTTTATTGGCCCAGAAATCGTTTGATGTGCTGCGGTCATCATCATCGACGGCGTTGTATTAAATCATGATTACATTCAACCGTTTCCTTTCGTCTTTTAAACGATTGGAACCGGGAATGTTTGATGTGAAGTAATGCAAGTGAAAAATAGTTATTTATGTACATACATATGTATGTACAACTTCTGACGGTCTTAGCAGATTGTAATAGCAGATCCCCATTCGAAATAGTTCGATTTCACGTGGTAACTTTGTATTATGACATTTTAAACTTTGTGTGGAAACAAATGCTTCCTTCTGCCATTTGAAGTATGTATGCAGATGCATATGCATGTTGTATGTTCGTTCGGTATGTACATATGTACATGAAAAATCGCCGATACCCCATTCGATCTCAAGTTTGATGTATAATCATTGTATGTACGTACATGTAGACATACAAATATGTACATAAAAAAACATGCAAACATGTTAGTAAAAGCGTACGTATGTATGTTTTGTATAAAACCCCGCTAAAAATATAAAACAAACAAATCAGAAACTACATTTGTATGAATGCATGTAGACGTACATTATGTAAATATACATACACATGCATTGTACATATGTATGTACATAGTTCGAGTACAAGTACGCGTAAGAGTATCGCATCGGGCACCGTTTGCATTAGCGACGACGCCCGATTATTTCCTGGCGCCAGTTTCTAAATTTACACAAATTATTTTCAAAGAATTTTGTCGCCGTCATGTTGGCCGACCGTTTGCGTGGCGCTTTCACGCATATTCTCTTCCACTTTACTTCGCATTCGCGTACTCTCGCAAATACTCACACACGTACATGGTTCTACAGAGCACATGATAAAGCGAAAATAAGCCCACACAAACGTAAGAGAGAGGGAGATTGCTTGGATGGGATCGCGACAGAGTGTGTACGTATGGGCATGAAGCAACTATATAGGGAGGTCTCGTCGGCGGTAGCCTTCCTTGTCTTATTTCCTTAAATTTGCTTATCGTCGCGGAAGGTTGAGCGCACACTCCATTGTCGTTTCACTCACACCTACAGCGAGAGCCCTTTCACTCGCACTTATTGATAGCATTGTTACGCTCCCTTATTTTTGCCGACGAGACTTCCTTATATAGTTGCTTCATGGGTACGTCTGGGCAAAAAGTCAAGGCGCGCAGTGAGCGCAGGAACTTGAAATTCAATTTTCTTTGAGAGCAATTCAATACCTAATACAGAGACGGACCGGTTACACTACATACTTTTGTACACATGTACGTAAGTATGTATGTATGTATTTATGTATGTTTGGCGCCACCAAATACACAGAACAGAACACAGTCGTGGTCTGCAGTATTGGGGCGCCGGCCCCAGGTAGACGTTTTAGTATGGTTTGTCGTACGAAAATTGTAAGCCGTTGGGTTAAAACAATTTCCCAAAATGGATTTTAGTTGTGTGTCCTACTGGATCAGGCGTATAATCCGGACAAGTATTTCTCTTTAACCCGGTTTAAACACGTCCGCAAATGTATCTCACACATCCATTGGTATGTACATAATGATGTATGTATGTATGTAACTATACCCTTGAATCGGATAATAGCCTTGGCTTTGTCAATCCTACCTGTATCGCTGATGTTTATTATGCGGTACCAATGCAGTGGGTTGCAACATATGTACACGCAGTCTCGTGCGCTGGGACAGGCGGGCAGGCGTTTTAGCTCCACGCCGCTCCTGAGGCTGGGCCAAAAGAACAGTCGACACGCGGTCAAGTGCTGCTCCTTGTCGGCTGGCGAGGTAGTGCACTTGATCAGAATGCACTGCAAGAAGGTTGGCGGGTTGGCAATTACGGCGTCGATGTTTGACTTTTTTGAGGGATGATCCACGCGGCTTTTGACGGCACGCAAAAGTTCGGACTGTTGCTTCTGCTTGAGCAGCTTCATCAGGGCATCGAAATCTTTTCGATTTGGCGTCTCGGGAGCTTGCGTGGATCCCGTCGTCCAGGAAATGTTCGTCAGTTGGGGGTGCGATTGTTTCGTGAACGGAATTGTGTGGTCTCGGCTCCAGCAAGTCGAGCCGCTGCTGGCCTCCGCTGCGTGACCGCCGGCGCCACAGCAGTTGCGAAACATGTTTGCTGCAGTCGTACGAAACGTCGTCGCACTCACTGTTGCCATAGAAGGGGGAGACTTTGAGGTCTGGTGGTGCATTTGATCGTTTTCGTCGATGAACATATCGTCGCCAGAGCTTACGCAGCTGCACCCAGGTTTGGTATAGCTGAAGTCCGAGTCTTCTGTGGCACTGGACGCGGGTGATGGTGATCCCAACGTACCCGTGATGCCACGTGGTACTAGCTGTTGTGTGTAGTTTAGTGGTGGGCGGGGGAGGCGGCAGTTGTTGGCGTTTGAGTTGGGGATGCCGTTGTTGTTCTGGCAGTAAGGGCCGCAACAGTCTGTGGCGTAAGGAATCGCATTGTATGGTGGCGGGGGAGTTTGACGCATCGGTAAGGAAGTTTCCTCGCAATAGGAGTTTCTGCAGCCAAACGAGGTAGCCCGCGGCATCTGAAGGCGGTGTCGATGTGGAGGGGGCGGCGGCTGTGGTGGCTGTGTGGGTCCTGGCACCCCATCGCTCGCACCTGGATTGTTTTTTGACGCATAACGCCATAGTTCTTTCTTCTTTTCGTTTGGGAATATCATGGAGGGACATACAGTTTTTTGGTAGCATCGATCTTATCGTATGCGCATTATTCGAATTGACTAACTTGTTTCGCGGACTCGATAAAGCCGGCTAGTCACGGTAGTTTGCGGTAGTTTGTAAAGTGCAATGCAATATGGGTGGGGCTCCGGTGGGAGAGAGGGTTTGCTGTGTGTGTCCCACACTACGTGATTCGCGCACTTGGCGTGACAGCTCAGCTGGACTTTGACTGGAACGTTTACGTTTCTCGATTTCCTGAATATACATACAATATGTACATATGTACATGCATAGGTACTGATTTGGTACTATTGGTGTCACTCGATGGGTTTGATGATATGTCCTCAGTGGTATTGATATGTAGTAAAGTGTGCACTCTGTAAGAGAAAGAGAGTTTTCTGATTAGTCACTGATATGCACTTGCACACCTATTAGTCTAAAAATCATATTTAAGTACTTATAAATCTGCAGATATGTATATATGTGTGTGTGCGATCGATCTTATTTATAAGCAATGCACTGACAATAGGGGGTCAGGCCGCCTCGCTGATGCATGTGCAGAAGAACAGATCTGTATGTACATACAATGTGTATGTATGTACAAAATGACATCCGAAATGTTCGCGCTGTGTGTGTGGCCCCCCGTCCGACCATTTCCATTTTGTTGCTGGCATTTCTTGCGCTCCTTATCGACGACAGAAGTGGCGCCGCCGGCATGACGGCACTCGCAAGCAACAGCAACAGCAACAGCAACAAAATTACGAGTCAGCCCCACACAAGGCAGAAACACACCACACACAAACACAGCACAGACACTCTATACATACATAAATATATACGTACATCCATGCATACGCGTACATACCCACTCACACAGTCGCTTACAGAATGAATTTACTTTGCTTGCGTGCAGCAGTCGAATGTAGAGGCACGGCAAGCGAGAGAGACCAGAAAAGAGAAGCATGGCAGGGCAGGAGCAGAGGCGGAGACAGAGGCAGAGCTGGCGCCAGGGCGCCACTGACGTAATAAAAGAAATAATAGTAACGATGTCGGCGGCGGCGGCGGCATCGTCGGAATGGCGCCACCAATATAAACTTATATCAGACAGACACAGACACAGGCACAGACACAGATACGAGGCAACGACGGTCGGTTTGTCAGCCGGTTTGACAAGTTGAAGAATCAACAATATTTAAGGTTGAGGCGACTGCAGAACTCGAACGTGGTCAGAAAATCATCCAGAGAGCGTGAACGAACACAGGCATGAGCGACGACGAGGCGAGAGTATATGTACATACATGCATATGTATGTATGTACATCCATGGGTATGAATGTATGTTTTTTTTTCTTTGATTGTGTTTACGTGCGGAACCAATACACACTCGAATTCTTCTGAAAATTCATCGGGTAAAAGAATTTAGGGTTTTTAAAGTGAACAGAGCTTCCCGGCGACGGGGAGTGCATTGGTCAGTGGGAGGAGGTATCTTTTCTGCAGAAAACATCTACATGAATACATACATATGTATGTACATATATAAGTGCATGTGCTAATACGTCTATGGTTGATGCACATGCATATGTACACACAAGAATGTGTTTTCTTTTGCCAAAGATCACGATTAAAGTACATTTGCACACATCCATGTGTATTTTCACGGTAAATTCTCTTCAATCTACAAATATATGAATATTTAAGGGATCGGATCGAATTAAGAATGAATACATTTGTATGAAAATGTACATACTATGTACATATGCTCAGTATAGTTAACAAAACATTCACAAAAAAGATACAAAAACAATCAAATTTACATAACAAAAGAGGTACAATAATCAATACTTGTCGAAATATTGCTTAGAAGTTGAGTTGTTATCCAGCGCAGCACATTGGATAATAAACAATCTTGTTTCTGTTCATTGACAATATGGACAGAACGGTCTTACTTTTTGCTGCACATGGCGAAAATTTTCGCTGACATAGAAAGAATTGGTCGAAAACAAAGCTTTATTGAACATAGAACATAGAAATCTAGATATATACATATGTAAATACATACATTTATACGTTCATAAGCACTTGGCAATATGTATTACGACCGTTTGGACTTTTTGATGCCCTTGTTCTCGTGAGGGCTTTATGATATAGTGGTCCGATCTCAATACTGAGTATATTAAATTTGTTAAATCATTGAAAGAATGTGCATGTTCATACAAATGGGCACTTATGAATAATACTTAATAGGAGATATAAATCCATTTAAAGGGAAGAACGCAACGCACGTTCAACGTATGTACTTACTGTTTAAATTATGTTTATCCACTGTATAATATCCTTAGCATTTTTTTATTTGTAGAAGATATGTGTGTTGTATTCATAGATATGTTTATTAATATAAACACGTATTCTTGATATGTTTAATATGTTGACCTTATTTCAGGATTCACATGACTAAAGAAGAAATGATTTATTAAGTTATATCGATATTGCACAATTCTTTTACATCTTTAACTATTTATCACGTAGGTTTACATATGTATGTTTAAATTACTGTGTCGATATGAACATTACAATACTGCTTTTTGGTTTTTAATCTCAAAGTAATAGTCATACAGGCACTTAAATGATATCCATACAATCTGTAAGAATGTGGATACGAAGGCTTGTTTATTATTGTGTGTTATATAATTAGCATCCGCGATGTTAGATTTTGTACGATAAACTGCACAAGTATACCATAAATACCCTTACGGTTCAAGGGTACTGGGTACTGCGTGAATAAATCAAACTAATGGACAGCACGCTCTGCCTCTGGAACACGAATTAAGAAATTATCCACTGTGAAAAACAGTTTGTTTTTGCAGGGTTTTTATTCACATTAGCACAATTTTTGTTAAACACCGTCGTGCGGCAGCAGTGCTATAGTTGTGTTATTGATTTATTGATTATAAATGTATGCATGTGTATAAGCCACTCGAACGGGCACCGAAAACTAGAGGCACTTTCTTATTCAATCGTGTGGTATAGGGTATACCCGTTGCGATTCCAATCTACCTCTAGAATGGAATATTTTCTTAGATTCACAGGTTACCACAAACCGAATGTGTAGTTGGTAGTTGGGTCTGAATCACTTTTCACTTTAATCAATTTCACGAATCGAATCGGCTTACATTCACAACGGGGCCAACTAGCAGCGGCCTTTTGCTTGGTTGGTTCAACCTTTCACTTATTTTTTTTATTAATTTTTACATTTGAGGCAGCTGATGAACCGTTCTCGGAAAATAAAATTCCAAAATTAAATTCAATTATTGCCTATTCGTTGTGCTTATTGGTTATTGTTGTCACCGCCCGCGTTGCAAAAAAAAACCACACGACCAACAAAAGTATTTTCTTTCTGAATTCAGAAACAAATCGAAATTATCAATATTTTCAACGGTCTTTGCAGGGAACAACGTACGTCTGCCTCCGAACAAGTCTTTTTTTTACACAAATCTAGATATTTTATTTTCAAATTTTACTGAGGGCGCGAATTTTTGGGCTCTTATTGTGAATGTGGTTCATATTGTGACTCTGCAATTTGTATGGAATTTCTTCTCGGGGAAATCCTCTCGTGTGTCTAAACGGTCAGGGAAATCCTCTCCTGTGTCTAAGCGGTCAGTGAAATTCTCCCACTGCGTACAAATTAGGTCCCTGCTCTTGGCTCTCTCGGGATTTTTGTTGGTTTTGTTTAATGTTCATTGATAATAAGGTGCAGGCGGTCGGGAAGTACTCATTTTTGAGTTGCAAATATGAGTACCAAAATACCCCACTGTGCCAAGTCTATACCCTTATGAGTATACCCTGAATGGACATTTGGCATACAAATGTATTAATTTATTACTAAGCTAATAATTGTCTATGAGGTGAGTTGTATATAATATACATGGTATTTATATTATGACTGAATATATATTTAACCTTCAAAATGTGGTTGGTAAGTTAGGGTTAGGGAATTTCTTGCTGGAAATTCTCTGTTGTCAGTGCTGCCTTTTTAGCTAATTTCCCACTAGATTTAGCGCCTCATTTTTGCGTGAGCAATGTGTTAGCCAACACTGGACATGTCGAGAAAATACCGTCACAGAAATATACCGAGGAACGAACTTAACCCACTTAACACCCATCCATATAAGCAGTTGAACACGGCGGTTAACTATTATTTACCTGTAAATGTTTCTTGTTTTTACATACACTTTTGTGTGTTATCACGCCCCCAAATTATATAAACTTGTAAAGTACATCAAGAATACATGTGCTTACCGCTTTTAGCAGTTGAGTACTCACATCGTAGTACTCCAATGTTATTTTCCATCTCGAACGGAAAACATAATTGTTATATTTTTGTCGAAAAAAAACACAAACTCATGCACACATACTCAAAAATGTGAAAAAAACAAGATAAAAGTATGGCACAGTACACAGTACACACTACAGTACTGAGTACCTTAAAAGTTAATTTTAACGGATGGACAGAATTGATTTAATACACCATTTAATACTTATGTGTGTATAAAGTATTATAGAAAATCTACATTGAATTCAACTTCGACGCATTGCAAACTTTAGAAAAATCAAAATAGGACGGATATTAGTTTACAACTTCTAGTCCAGCTCTATTACTAGGGCCAAAGTTAATTATTTGGCGAAGTTTTTGAGATTTAAAAAAAAACAAGGCATTCGCACGGGAAAAATACGGAGGTGTTTTCGCGGCAATCAATTCAAGCTCAGATTTTATTTATTATGATTTATGTGGTCCATTGATTTCTCTATAAAATGGGTATAATTTTACTAGTATATGATTCGCGATTTTATTTAAATGTAATCAAAAACTCTGTCGTGCGGACAATACGTAAATACAATAAATAGCCAAGATTTAACCTATTTCTCGAATTTTGTAAAGAGTGGTATATGTTAGAAAGTCTTTGTGGTTGAACTTTTCGCAAGAATCATCGTACTTTTGTAAAATGCATCAAAGTATGTACATTTTCAAAAGGGTAATTAAGTTACCTTTCAAATAATTCCATTTATATGGAAATGTGTTTTTGTTACATTTATATTTTTGGCCTTACATAAACAAATTGAGTTTGGATTGTGCTCCTGGCTAAAATAATTTCGCGATCGAGACTAAATGTTTAACAGGTTTGGTTGGAGTACATGAATAATTTAATAGGACCATTAGTAATACCGATAATTTATGAAAAGTTGTTTAAAACTTCTGATTCACTTATAGGCTTATTGTTTATAGATTAAATATATGTAATGTATGTATATTGTATGTACTTATGTACAACTGTATCAATGTTCGGAATATGATAGATTTGTCATTGGTGTGAAGTTCGACTTACCACCTTGATTTTTAGACATTTTGTTGCTATTATTAGCTTGTACTATTTCCAACAGCAGATTTGAAGTGTAAAGGCGAGTTGCCTTTTAAAACAAGCTCGATTCGCGCGCGTGAATTTTGCTGCGACGCGTGCTGTATTAACCGAACGTGTTGTCCTGTCGCATACTTCTAAGTGAACTAGCCGCCAGCCGTAAACGGCGGCATCCTTTTATACTAACGGGTACGGTGCGGGTACTGGAGTGCGCACTTGGGAGGGCAGGACGACTGCGCACGGACTCACGCACAGACGGCGCGACGCGGCGGCATCCAAGAACCATTGGACAAGGCGCCGCCGCCGTCTGAAGCAAAACTTACGCCTTGGACGCCGACGCCAATCGTCGCGACTTCTGACTCAGTGTTGTGTTTCTTCGTTAATTCATATATGAACAATATTTACATGTATACTTATGCACATACCTTATACATATATACTAATTTACATACATATGTACATCCATACATTTATTTCATTTTGTCTTCACCCACTTTACTAATTGTACATACAAACTATATTATAAAACATTAGTTTTGTATTAGTAGTTTGTTTTACAGAGCTAAATTTAACATAATAGTTTATAGTTACATAGATGCAAGGTATGTACAAAAGAAAACCTAAAAAAATTATGGGACCACACACACATACAATTGTACACATTTTGTTGATTGGCGACACTAGGCGTCTAGCCGCAATGGTGTCTAAGCTGAAATCTGCGAGCCATTTTGTCTGGCACAAAGGCGACAGCGACGGCGACCGGGAACCCTACAGACGGGCGACTCGACTGGCGTCTAAAGTTGTACGAGTTAGGAAATACGACTCCCAGCGGAAAGTTTTCGATGAACGGAATCGCTTTGGCAATCATAATCAGTCTGTTATTACCCAACTAGGCCTAGTAAATACATACATATGTGTGTAAATCTTTGTTTTGGAAGTATTTTCAAATGTATGTACATATGTATGTACATGTCACCGACAAATTCATCACATATTTATATCATATAATAGCAGGGCTCATTGGAAATAATTAATTATACAATTTACTTATTGTTTAAACAAACAGATTGTAAATATAAAAAGAGAGAAGAGAAAAACAAAAAAAAACATATTTTAAAACATACAAATTGTGATGAAATTATCTACCATATTACTACTATTGACTTACATACATACATATGTAAGTACATAGTTTAATAGCCATGGAATCCTTCGCCGAAATCCTGAAGCCCTCCCCCGTTGACTGGTGGAGTCATCAATAAAAAACGATAGACGAGCAATAACTCGTCATCATAGACGCGACGACTATTTTCGCATCTAATTGTAAAAGCAGCGTCATTTGTCGCGACAACGTGGCAATAAGGGGCGCGGCGCCCAATGGCGCACACTTGGCCCGTTGGCAAAGCAAATCAAAGTTCTGCGTATCCGCATCCGTTGTCCTGCACAAACTGCGCCACTGTCTGTGCTCGTCCTGTCGCATGTTGTCGAAGACCAGGCGGCGGACGACGCCACAATCGTCGGCTAAGTCTAGTCTACTCTGGATACTGGAAAGTGACTGTGTGCGTGGGTTTCCCCTCCCATCCGCCACCCTACACACTGCTAGAAGTACATTTTTTGCCGACAAGTTGTCGTCTTGGTGACCGTCGCCGACGTGTTGGCGTCGCCAACTCAGAAATTTGCAACAATTTTGAGCGCGCTGCCGCCACTTGTTACGCACTTTGGCGCCTTCGTCCCCAAAGCAAAAAGGGCCAGGGAACGGGAACTGCCGCCATGTTGATTCTGCGCCAAAATCCGAACCCCAGGCAGACACAAAACACATGAATGCCGCTAAACATACGTATTTAAGTATGTATGTATGTATATTACATATACAATTAGTAAACTAGCCAACAGTCCGATTCTAATATTTCATTCGATATTAAGTTACAAACCTATGTACATAGATACTATTATGGTACTGTTATACTATTATGTCTTTAACTATCTGGAACTTGGCGATCAATCAGATATAATAGATTTTAAGGCAGTTACTTTCGCTAAAACAAATATCCGACAGATCCGTATATTTCCTGTAAGCAGAACATATGTATGTATGTATTTGACACATACACACACACGCACATTTACATACTTTAAGTTGGAACCTCCAAGACCGGCCAACATCCTTACACATGTAGTTGCTAAAAGCTGGAAATGTACGTTTTATTTGGTTATTATGTCATGATAACATATGAAAATATGTGAAATTGTTAAATGTGAGAAAGTCCATTTTGATTTGTGAAATGGTATGCTTTGTTTAATATATTATCTCCGAATGATATACATACATACATAAATAGTTTGTGGGTTTTCCATCAGTGAACATATTTAATTTGGAACAGTTAGGGTTTGCATTTAATAAATACAATTTATTCTACAAGGATTTTTGTTTGTTTATGCCTTTTCTTACATATTGTATGTAGCTATCGTAGTACTTTGACTCTGATTTATTTTCTTAAGCATACACATTTATGTTCTGGCATTTAAAACTACTCCGATAAACGAGTAGATCAAAACTAGAAATTAATTAAAAGACACATTTAATTAAAGTATACAAAAATGTTTAAAAAAACAAGCATATAAATTATACATGTATGACCAAATAAAATAATCCAAATAACTACGCTACGGATTCTTACAACAAATATTTATCCGTGGCATTTAGATATACAACATACAGAAGGAGAATTGAAGTGTTTACGACTTACATTTGTTCGAATGTGTTTGTTAAGTTAATTTCTTCTGCCTATTCTGTTTATTCGTTTATAAGTCAAAATGTATCACAATTTTGATCATTCTGCGCCAGTAGCCATATTTATCGGTTGCACAATTTACAATGATGCATTAATGATGCACATAATACATATTTATGCTGATGCTGAATATGTTTTTTAAAGTGGGTGGGTTCACACAAATTTGATTCAATGAATCCCAAAATATGTTTTGACGAAACTTTATAAAACCGATATTTACAAATACCAGATACTAAATAGTTATTTATGATTGCATGTTTACATATGTATGTATGTATGTATTACGAGTATATGGGTATGCATGGTGAGAGCTGGTGCTTAAAAATGTATAAACGTAGTTAGCTATATTTATATTCACTTCTTGTCGAGGGCTATGGATCCCTCATACCCGTTCAGATATTACATGAAGGTAAAAGGGAAGCGTCTAGAATGTTCATTTGCACATCTCATATGTATGTTGGATTGGATTTACTATCATAAATGCCTGAACAAAATGGTGGAGTGACGTGAACAAGTTTTCCTTAACAAATACAAATGATATACAAGTATGTACAATGAGCAAGACCAGACCTTCACTTCATACTGTATTATTATTTAATGTGATAAAAAAAAAAATTAAAAACATTTTTCTCTCTTATACAGTGCACACAAATTTTAATTAAAGAATTTTTGGAATCCAAGAGGCTATTATCAATTCAAAGTTTATTGACGGTTGAGTACGTGCCCATTTTCGACGAGAGATTTGACATACCCTGTAGCAATATTCTTGTTGTTTTCGCTTTGTATAGTATCATAAAAGTAAACACGATTGTACATACATATGTAAGTATTGGATACATAATTGTTTGCAAACATATGCATAATTGAGTAAAGCATAAACTTCTGAAAAAATTAAGACGTGACAATTAATCGATTTGATGCCTGGCCTCTGTTATCAATGCCAGCAGGGCATCGAGTTTTAGGTCTTTGAAATGTTCAAAATGGTCCATTAGCGGTTGAATCGCATCTGACTCAATTGCTGCGGAGATGGTCTGATTCTGTATGGTTCGGGTGAGGCAGGACGCTACCTGTGCAAGAAACTCCCGCCATTTCTGCCTATTCGTGTCGCTAAGCGTTTGGTCCACTCTGGACACGTATATTTCTTCGGCACGAAGTATCAAGGCAACAAGCGATAGGATCCCAAACTGTAAATTCAATCAATGTTTCAATCAAGTGTCGCGGCGTTGCCAGTATTTTAAACTTACGCGACTGCAGAAAATTCCCGTTAGCTTATTATCATTCAGTGTGATTGCCGCTGAAATTGTGACAACAGTTTCAAAGCTGGCTTTGCTGATGTGCTTTTTGAATTCTGGATACAAAGCGTAGAGGATACCCTCAATATCGTCTTTGTCCTTCTTTATAACAGTCTGTAGCGAGCAGAAGACTCCGCTCCACACTGTCCAGCATATACTATGCTCAGAAATAAACGGCATAACGCGACGTAAAAGTATCTGAATCAGATAGATGGCAATGGCTAAAATATTGGACACATTATATTACGCATTGAGATGTAACTTACCTTGCCCTTGCGAACATTCATCATAGCTACGACCTTGTCGAAAGTCAAGCCTGCCTTTAGTTTGTGCACCAGCGCATCAGTCGTCTCAATTTCGTAGTTGAATTTATTCTTCAGCTGTGGATTGAGACTTTGTGGGTTAGATGCATCCGCAGCCCGCTCCTCAGGTGTTTTGTTTGCCATCTCAAGCTGCTCCAGAGCCGCAATTCTTTCGGCCTCCTTCTTTTTCTTCAAAACGATCGTGGCCATAACGTCCGTGTTTTCCAGGTCCTCAAGTTTCAGCAGATAGCGGTACAGAGTCTCTATCAGCAACAAAATATGTCGCGATTTGCGCATACTACTGGGTGTGACATCACAGTTTGCACTTGGTAGAAGCGGTGTCCCTGCGTTAGAGTTTGCGTTTATCCCGCTCATTGTGCTTACTGATGAAGATGCCGAGTTTCCTGGCACATCCCCGGGGCTGGCCTCGCCGCCCATTATGTCCGCGTCTATAATTTTACGTGGGGCTGTCACGCTGCCATATTGCAGTTTACCAAGCGAGTTCTCAAACTTCAGGGGCGAGAAAATGTACCCCGATAAAGTGTTGTTGTTCCCTCCACTGCCACTTGCTGCATTATTTGTGCTACCACCCGTGTTGTTGCTGCTTGTGTTTTCCGAGTTTCGACGCTCGCGGTGCTGTCCGTGCCCGTTGCGTGTGCCGTTTTTGTTGCCCAACTGAACGAGTATGAGTTGTGCATGGCCCCTGGGTTGCGTTAAAGGATGATTCAACTGGTTGTCCTTGTGGGCCTGACTTTGCCGCACCTGACCATTCTGCAGAGCCTTGCGCTCTCTGTAGACCGTGTAGTAGTAGTCATCAATGTACGGTGTGTCCGTATTCAGCTGTGACAACTGTATACCGATTAGCCAGTGCTTGTCGCGTGTGCTCATTAGATTTGCATATTCATCGTATTCATCTTGCGGAAGGTTTCCAGATGCGTCTGGACGTCGATTCAGATGTTGCTGCTGCATTTGTTGCTTTTGACGCTGATCACTGGGGACAGAACCTCCCCGACTTTGCTGGAGCTGGCGCGCCACGACAGCATTTTGTTGAAGAAGCGGATGATTTTGCTGGATCTCCTGCACGAGGCGCATGTTAAACATATTGAACATAGAGTTTTGCTGCTGGCTGAGCAGATTGTTGGCTGCCTGCAGAGGGTGTGGTGGCATTCGTGACTGTGGATGCTGCAGTGGATGCGCGGGCTGCATAAAGGCCGCCGGATGCAAGCCAGCAGCTCGCATTGCATTAAAACTCGGATGCATTGCAAAGTTGTTGAGGGCTGTGGGCAGATGTGGGGTTGGCAGTGGACGCTGATTGCCGCCTAGAGGAAAGTTTGGGGGCAAGGCACAGGCACCGTGTTGCTGAAGCAGTGGATATTGTTGCAGTGGGGGCATACTTCCTGGCAAACCTGGTGGGTAGATAAACCCAGGCGGCACGCGATTCCCTGCCAAACCATTCATTTGTTGTTGCGATTGAGGATTTGGCAACATCTCGGGCATTGGATGGGGACCATGGAAACCTAGATTTGTTCTTGGTGGCGACGTTTGCGGCGTTGTCATGAATCCAGGGGGCACTGCAATTCATTTTGGAAGAGCATGTTTTTTTTTGTTTGTTTGCTTTTGATTTTATTTATGCTTACCCTTGTTTTGTGGTTTAGGTTGCTGTTGATGCGGTGTTGTTGGTGGCAGCATATGCTGCCGGTTAGCCAGGCTAAATTCATCAAAAGCTTTTCGATCTGTTGTTTGCTGTTGCTGTTGCTGCTTCGGTATTGCTTGCTGAATGATAAGATTGCGTTCTATATCCTCGAGGGTTGAGATTTTGGGACCAGTTTGAGGACGCATATGATGTAATGCTAAATTTGCGTTGGCCTCCTGCTGGTGTTTCATCTGCGTTTGCGGCTTAAAAGCACTACGCATGGCTTCACGAAATAGCGGTTGATTATTCGGAAACGGTGGCGACGCCCACACTGCAGAGTCCAAGTTAACCCGATTGCTAACATTACCCGCTTCGCTGTCGAGGAAAGAGGAGAAGTCCACATCATCTAGCTTCATGGAGGACAGATTAAGCTCTAAGTCCGCGTCTTCCATATTTCGTGAGCCTGGAAAAGGCGCATTGAATGGCGCAGGTGTTGACCCACTCGACGATGGAGCCGATGAAAGCACGTTCGCATGTCTGGGCACGCCATTGCCTCCGGCTGGATATCCTCCGTATGCACCTCTATCAGCGAAACCGCCTCTCTTTCGAACCTTGTCGCCATTTCCGCCAAGGCGAACCAGCGTTTCGTGAGCTTCTTCCCAATCTCCATTTATTGCAGACCCGAAGGTTTCATCGTTGAGCGCATCATATTCTTCTTCGCCAATGCGCCCATCGCCACCTTCGTCCTCCTGTGTATACAATTAAATAAATACATGCATATATTGTGGATAGGCATAGGCACAACTATTGTGAATGCATGGCAGTCATGGCATAAATGGTGTTGTTGTAAACTATAATAATATTTTTTACATTTTGCCGATAGGCAACTCTCTACGCTATGTGTGCAAGGGGCATGTATGTTCACTATCTAACACGACGATGCCGATGCCCTTAAAACATTTGCGCAGTGGTAACATTCCCTTCCTTTTCTTACTTAATCCTATGTAATATTAACAGTCCCAGGGGTAGTGCTCACCGGTATAGTTGTGTCGAATCCGAAAAACGAGTCATCCATTGCGAAAAACTATTTTTTTACAAAAAATTATCATGACTTGTCAGCAGTGTGACCGCGGAATTATCGATAGAATATATACCCAGACCCTCGGAAATATACCGAAATATACCCTTGCATTTTCAAAATATACTGTAACTATACCGTACATCCTAAACCTTTTTTGATTTTGATGTAATATTTGATATTTATAGCTAGTTTATCCGCTTTATCAATAAATTCTGCAGCAGATTGGCTAGTTTTCACGACCAAAACTGGTTAATTTAATTGCCTCAGAGGACGCACGAGCCAGTCTTGTGGAAAATTGATTGATGAATTGATGATATAATATTAAATATAGGATCAAAGTACAGGAAAATGATTTAAGATTTATGGTATATTTTGCAAATGAAAAATATAATCCGGTATATCTTCTTCAAAGTACAGGAAAATGATTTAAGATTTATGGTATATTTTGCAAATGAAAAATATAATCCGGTATATCTTCGATGGTCTGACGGTATATTTGATCGACAATTCCGCGGTCACACTGACGCCAAAAGCAATTTAATTATTTTATAAAATAAAATAAACAAGTAAGAATGAAACGGAAAACAAGCGAGATTTGGTGCTTTTTCCGAGCGATCGATGACACTTATGCTCTGTGTAACATCTGCAAAGCCAAGCTTTCTTATAAAACTACAACTACGAATCTAAGCAAACATATGAATAGAATGCATCCGAACTCGACGCTGTCGCAGAGTCACAAATATAAATATCAAACACAGACAAGTGTAATTGATCGGAATAAGGGAAAGCCACGAAACCCCGCTCAGGAAGTAGTCTTGCTGGACTTTGTGAAGAAGCATCCTCGATTGCTACAAGTTCCTTCTTGGGAAACACGTAATTCCGCGGACTCATTATGGGTGCAACTGACATCAGAGTTGAACAGGAATGGCCCGCCACGAAAAGATGTGGTTACATGGAAGAAGGTGAGCATACCAAATAATTGTCTGAATGACAGGTTATTAATGTCTTTGTTATATTGCAGGCGTTGAAAGACTGGAAAAGGTTCATACTTAAAAAAGTGGAGAAAAATGAAATGCTTAATTTGCCGTTTGAGACGAGCCTCAGTCCGTCTGAGGAAACAATAGCAGCCCTATGTCGTATACACGATGATGTTAGTCAACTGATTTTGAAAGAAGATGATGGCATGCACGACAACTCAAATACCGAATATGATGTGGAAGATGTGGTGCCAGACGAGGATGATCCTAGCGCCTTGCAAGGTGCTGCCGAATTTATCTATGAGCCAGAGGATTGCAAGGTTGATATAGACCCGCTGTACCTGCAAGCAGGCAAAAAGTCAGTATTAGCAGGAAGAACAACAGAGGAGGATAGCTTGCTGGAAAAATTAAGCAACAACATTGGTTTGGTCAACGACGCCACCAGCAGTGTCCACATGGCGCTCAATGAGTTTTGCGTTATGTTAAAGCAAAAATTGCTTGAAGACAAGCGTCACCACTTAGCCATGGAACAGTTGACGGCGGAGAAAATTGAGTTGAAAAAAAAACTTTTAGAAATTGAGCAGAAGAAACTGTCACTAAAATGACTGGACTTGTAATAAAGTGGTAAAGGAATGTATAAATACGTTAAGTGATTTTTAATAAGGACCCCGTTTAAATTAAATTCTTTTCTCACCCGTTATTAATTTTAAAGAGACATCTAAACTGTTGTCAGAAGCATTTGTTAGAATTTGAAAATGGTTATTCAGCCAAGTTCATTTGTATGAGTCTTATCCTGCTTGACCAACATAATTAATTGATGAAACCAACCCCTTGGAGTAAAAAGATCATTTCCAGACCCAATCATTTATTGAAGAGACGTAATTCTTGTATACTGTAATTCTTCATATACTTGCTTAAATTCCTGTGGATAAAGCTCGTCGCTCATAAAACTGTCATAGTCGTATTTAATATCCTATTGGAGTACAAAATTAAAACCAAATATGCAAATGAAACGATTTCACCTTACGTCCATAATATCTGAGGCATCCGACTCGTCCTCAGATGGGTTGTTAAAGCTGGTATGGCCATCCAAGTCACCACAAGCTATAAAGGGCACTAGGCTGCGGTTTACTTCGGAACCTGTTCTTTGGGCGAGTATGCGTATGTCATCTCGAGCCGTGTTAATGACTTGTGGAATATATCCGGGGGGCAAACAGAAATCGGAGCACACCACAAACGCTTCAATGCTCGATGAGCGCGAACTTGGAGGCTTGTAGATATCAAACTTATTAAAAAATATTTGCATCTGTGTGCTAAGCAGACCGGTGGCATTGCCTTTAAATATTTTGGCAACAAAACATCCCCCGGTTTCAAGTACTACAGTGGCTATACTTAGAGCAGATACCAGAAGCTGATGTTGCATATACTCGTCCATTTCATGCACACCTGTTACGTCCGGGGCCCCGTCACAAACGACGAGCTGGGCCTTCTCTTCCCCGTCAGTACCGAAATGACTTATTATAGCTTCGGCTGTGCTCTCCTTGGTAATGTCCCCTTGCAATTGGACAACTCCCCGTATTGGCGCCATGGCCTGCAAGTCCACTGCAATGATTTTGGTTGCCAACTTTTCAGCATCGTTTTGGCACGGATCGTACAGCTTACGAGACAATACCTGGGACCAACTTCCAGGTGCTGCACACAAGTCAACAGCGCGCCGTACACCTGCATTAAAAAACCACCACCATTAAATAAAGGTGAATTCACGTGTATGAAGGTAGCTTAAACATTACTAATATACAATACCATTTAGTATTCCATAGGCATCATGAATGTGCAATAGCTTAAAAGCACTTCGTGCTCGCCAGCCTTCTTCCTTCGCTTGACGGTAATAAATATCCCGTTTGTCTTTTGAAGTTTTACCCATACTCAATAGGATTGACACGCGAAATCTTTGTATATATATAATTATTATTTTTTTTTTAGGTTTTATGTTACCGCTCTACCCTTTGGTAGAGGGGGATTATTTGGCCGCCCGCCTTTACAAGGTGGAAATCGCCACGTCGAGATATGTAACTTGTTACAGTTTTGCTCCAATACTTATCTGGCGTAGAGGACTTCCCCACTATTATTCAGCTTAAATAATTAAAGCTTTTTAATCTTTGTATAGATTTATATTTGCGACGGAATTCAATAAACATAAACTTAACTTGTGCTCAGTGTGACCGCGGAATTATCGATAAAATATATAGACAGGCTCTCGGAAATATACCCTCGCATTTTCAAAATACACTGTAAATATACCGTAGTCTTAAATAATATTCCTCGATTTGATGTTCTATTTTATATTATCAGCTAGTAAGGAGTCTCCGCGCTAACACTAGAATTTTTTCCGATTTATCAATCAATTATCTTGGGTTGATTGCCAAATATTTAAAAAATATATCGGTGAAATATTTGTTGATGGAAAAATATGAATATTGATTGATATATTGAAATTTCTATGACAACCCTAATTTGTTTATTAACGAAGACATTGTTTACCGCGTGAATTTGAAAGTTGTTTAAAAGTGCACAAGAAACCAAATCGATTCAAGAAATTCATAAGTTTAATATGTGCCAAGTAACAGAGTCTTGCTTTGAAGAAACTGAATATGTTACAATGTCAAAAGTGACGTGTCCTCGGAACTTCATGTAAGACTTGTAATTACTACTTACATACTACTACACATACTACTTACTCCACTAAGAATATGTTAATAGAAAATATAAAACAATGTCCATTTAACGATGAATGATCCATGATCCATGTGATCCATTATCCTTTATCGTGTGTGCCAATTTTTATTACATAAAGAAGTTTTACAGAACCGTCGTTAGTCACGAAAATTGGCATGCCTCTTATTACATCTTTTTTCATACAGCCATTCTAATGCAAAATATTTGTAGTACTTTTTGATTTTGATTGAAACAGGAACTTACCGAAATATATTTTATATAATTCGAAAGATTATTGAACAATACATTAAAAATATGTACATAAGTGTGAAATAATATTATACACAGAAATAAATTATGCAAAAACGTCTATAATGTGTTTTTTCTACGCAGGTCTGCTTGTGTTGATGTGGATCGTGACTATCTAAGCATGTTGCTGGCAAGCTGCTATTCGATCGTAGAAAGACAACAAAGACAGTGTGAATCATTATTAGAAGATGAAGATGCCATTTCTCTTAACATGGAGTGCAGTGCACATTTTGATGCCACCGCGCTTAAGAAAATATTTGTCGGACTTGAAAGATTAATTTGCTGTCTACCTAACAAAGTCCAAAAAGCTTTGGGTTAGGTAAGGGTAGCTACACTTTGCGACTAAAATAATATATGTACGTACGAATGTAAAAATAATTTAAAATTACGTGAATCAGCCCTAAATTGCCCTAATCTAATTTAATTCATTTGAAAATACAAGGATATGCCGATTAGCTAGAAACTATAATGTTTCTTTCGTCCAAAATTACAATATTTTTGTGTGTTTGTTCACACTGAATATGCTACGGAAGATGGATGTTGTTCTTGGTGCAACCAACGTTGTCAACAGGAAGTAAAATAATGGAAAATGCATCGGTTATTGGACACGTTTCGCTTGAAGTTTTTCCGTTAACGAATAAGTTATGTGCTCCACCTACTGTAAAAGACCTTCGAATATAAACATGATTCATATCTGTGTACGCTCTTTAATCTTAGCCATCTTTTGAAGAATTTCCAACTGCTTTATCACGTACTGTGGTAATGAAGATAATGCGCGAAATAAAAAAAAAACTGTGCAGAAGCGCTCTATATATAGCGCTATAGGGCAAGGGGCTGCATTGCGTTTTCTGCAGTGGCAGCAATGAGTGTCTTAAAAGTTCTAGCCGTGTTTGGGGCTCTGGCAATTGCCGATAGGGCAGCTTCCACTACCTGTCCGTACGCGAATAGTGACGAACTCGAACAGTATTCAACTTCAAAATTAAAGAGAAACTCGGGAAGTTTTCCTTTCGAAGTTCGTCCTGCGATCAGTGACTCAAGCTTGGACGCGTTGCTGAAGGAGTATCTACCGAAATACAATACCAATTCGGCTACTAGTCCCAGCAGATGGTCGCCTTTGTCGGGTTTTTCGAAGCCTGTAAGGTGTGGCACACCGCCGTCGAATTGCCTGAATGATACGAGCAACTTGCACTACCGAAGCATTGATGGATCATGCAACAGCTTGCTTTACCCCGAACACGGAATTGCTGTCTCTAGATACGGGCGCCTGCTGCCTCCGAAATACGTGAAACCAGTACAGGCGTTACCCAATGCGCGGCTCATCTCCCTTTCACTGTATGGTGAACATACGAGAAACGACAATTTCAGGACCATGGCGGCAATGCAGTGGGGCCAGTACGTGGCTCACGATGTCAGTCAACTGTCGACCAGGGGTGCACCTAAAGACTGCTGTGCTGAGCCTCATCATCATCGTTGCCAGCCGATTGCTCTGCCGCGCGGTGGGCCCATCGCATACAACACTGGTAAAACTTGCCTCCACTTTGCTAGCAGCGTTTCGGACGCGGAAGCCATTTGCCCGAAGGACGGTGCACCATATCCCGAGAAGCTTACACTTTCCACCGCCTATCTCGATCTGTCATCTGTGTATGGAAATTCTCAACGTCAGAGTCGGCAAGTGCGTTTATTCAAGGGAGGTCGGCTCCGCACCAGCTACGTAAACGGTCAGCACTGGTTACCCGTGAGCCAGAACCAGAATGGTGAGTGTGGTGCCAGGAACGAGTGCTACATTATGCCAGATAGACGGAACCGCTTCTTACCCACCATCGCACTTCTGCAGACACTGTTTGTGCGTGAACATAATCGATTGGCTGAGAACATAGCGATCCTGAATCCGCACTACAACGACGAGCGCCTCTACCAGGAAGCTCGCAAGATCAATATTGCACAGTACCAGAAGATAACCTATAACGATTGGCTGCCCCTATATCTGGGTAGTACATACACCTATCTCAATGGTCTAATCTATCCGGTGGACCCTACTGAGTATGTCAATGATTACGACGAATCCGTAAATGCTGCTGTCTATGCAGAGTTCGCTTCGGCCGCTTTTCGTTACGCGCACACCCAGGTTCCCGGTTGGTTTTCGTAAGTCTTCGCGGTTCGTTTGTCGAGTTTACAAGTATATTAACAAGAGTTTTTTTTGTGAAATTACAGACTTGTTGCTCCAAATCGCAGTTCCAACCAGACACTGCGCCTAAGTGACCATTTCGAGCGACCTGAGATTATTCGCTTGTTGGACTCTAGTGATAACTTTGATGCATTATTGAGAGGCTTGGCAACGCAACTTCATAAACGTGCCGATGGGAGTATCGATCGGGAAATCAAACACTACTTTAATCGAAAGGAGTTCGAGGAATACGGTTCTGATCTCAAGTCACTGGACATTCAACGTGCCCGAGACTTTGGGCTAGCCTCCTACAACGACGTCCGTGAGTTTTGCGGACTGCGGCGAGCCGTCGAATGGGCAGATTTGATCGCCGAGATACCGAGAGAGGTTAGTAATGTAATTCTTTACCTATAAATTGCATAATCAAATGTTCCATTGCCATGTAGAAAATCTCTTTGTTGAAAAAGCTATATGCAACTCCTGATGATGTGGAACTGAGTGTGGGTGGTTCGCTGGAATACCATGTCCCTGAAGCACTTTACGGTCCGACTCTGTTGTGCATTATTGGCAAACAATTTCTAAACACGCGTCGCGGGGACCGATTCTTTTTTGAACGAGATCACAGTGGTGGTTTCTCGCGCAGTAAGTTGCAGCTTTTGTAGGTTGATAGGAATTACATTTCTGATTCCAACACTTTGTTCATGCAGCGCAACTGGCGGAGATTCGTAAGGCAAGTTTAGCAAGTTTGTTCTGCAACAATGCGAATTATTTGCGTGACATCCAGCAGAACGTATTCGTATTTCCGAATTATCAGTAAGTTTACTTAAATAATTACTTTAATTAAATAATCAGTAACCTTTTTCATTCCTCAATTTAGTAACTTGATCCTCAATTGCGATGAGATACCACAAGTTGATCTCAGCAAATGGCAAGATATCCACTAGAAAATCAAAGTTCTATATATTTGAAATTCTATAAGGAGCGATTTATTTGTTTATGCACGTGCGACTTTTTAACTAGTTTTTCTTGTTATATTTTAAACCATGTAAGGCTGCCGCACATTAATATAGCTATTAGAATAGCAACAATAAAGTTTATGACTATTAAAACTCGCATAGCTTTTATTCATGAAACGAAATAAATTGACTTTTGTGTAAACTTTAGTAATAAATCAGGAATAAATTTATGATTCAATTTCAATGTATGGCCAAACGATAACGTATAGATTTCTTAAGCAATAATGTGGATCAGGTGGGGTATTTAGTATGTCGGATTGCTGTTTATGTAGTTTATGTTTAAAGAAGCCTGATTTACACCTTCTAATTACATCACTATAAAGAAAGACGGACAATGCTCTACATCAGGGCTCGGCACCCATACAATTAACGAGCCGTTTTTGCGTTTGTGTGCAATGACGCACGCAAAACGGTATATTGGTATTGGTTTTTTCGTTTGTCCTATACCTTTTAGATAGGGCCGTGCCGAGCCCTGCTCTACATACATATGGTCCACATTGGGTACTGAATATCTTTTTCGCTTTATCTGCTACTTGCATATGAAGTTCGTCTTTATTTGGTTACTTTTCTCCTATTCGCCGAGCTGCCTGCCGCCGTCTAGGTTACGCTCTTGGACATTCGAGGCATCTCTTACGCAATGTTTGTGGATAGCTGAGGAATAAAACCTTTGCACTTTCATTGACTTTGGGTTCGTCGTTCTAAATGTGTTAATCATATGGAGGCGCGCGACATAGAGTGTGAACACGTTTATTGAAATACATACCTAATTAGGAGACAAAGGGTTTATTCTCTGAACATTTTTCGCTTTTTGGGCCACACTGTTGGAACGAGTCGTAAAGTCGAACATAGTTCAGCAATGAATATGTTCTTCAAACATACTTCAATATTTACATACATACATATATACGGATACACATTCAGAGGCGGTCGATATTATGAGTTGACAATAATTTGCATTTGTTAACAGAATGTTAGCATCATTTGAACAGTTTGCATATTTCACTAGAGATTAGTGATGGATATTTCTCAATGGACATGCCATAACGGTTCTATTCTACTGAATCTAGATTAATGAAAGTGATTTAAACAAAGTATTCATAAAATATATCGAACCCCCAGATGGTATATAAGTGATGGATTAATCAGGGAAAGGCGCCAGATGCGCTTTAGCCATGAAGCTGTTCACAACGGTATTCTGCCTTAGTAAGTTATTCACCAACAGACAAACACCCAGTTCTTCCCCATCGACCTTAAAAAAAAACAAATGATTAATAATAAATACTTCATATTTAGGCTTGGCTTTCAGCCTGGCGAGTGTAAAGAAAGCGGACCATGAGACCGGAAGACTAATCACAATCCAATCTCCGGCACCGGCACCAGCACCAGCACCGGCTCCGCCGAGTGTTATTTATAAGTTCCCACCGCAGCATTACTACCCGCCGCCGCCGCCACCGCCACCGCCACATCCACCACATCACTGCCACTGTCCGCCTGGCCCCCCCGGTCCTCCGGGCGCCCCAGGATCGCCTGGCCCTGCCGGCCTGCCAGGTGTACAAGGCCCTCAAGGCGAAAAAGGTGATCGAGGTGAAAAAGGACAGAAAGGCCACTATGGCATGCCCGGCCCGTCAGGCCCGCCAGGCCCGTCCGGCCCGCCAGGTGTTCCAGGTGCCGCCGGTCGACCCGGCAGGCCATCATCAAATCCACCGGCAGCCCCTAGTCCGCCGCCGCCGCCACCGCCGCCGCCGCCGCCGCCACCACATCACCACCCTCCTTATCCCCAACCACCAATAATAATTCCAATTCCTGTGCCACCGCCTCACAAGGGAAAACACAAGGGATCTAAAGGCCCTCCCGGACCACCGGGACCACCAGGTGAGTTAATTAAGTGCATTGCCTTTTCCGAAGAATTGATAAAAAGACAAAACAGAAACATGCAGATATCTTCTTCGTCTCAAAAAATCAGAATCAGAATTAGTTTTTATCCTTTGTAAAAATCACGTGCATGGGTCACATTTGTGCTGATGCAAAAGCCAGAAGAAGGCGTTTCGGACCCCATTGTATTACTCAGAATATTCCAATCCGAAGAGAACCAAACTGTCAGCCGAAGCTATCAGCTATCAGATCCTTTTGTTGTTTTCTTAGTGCTTTAATCTTAATTACTCAAGTGCTATTGATAACATGTAAAATTATTTTATCTACAGGATCGGGACCGCCTGGTCCTCCTGGACCACCTGGAGGCTCTAAACATCCTCATCCGCCTCCACATTATCCTTACCCTCCAAGGCTGCCATACCCTGTGCCTGTCCCTGTGCCTGTGCCTGTGCCTGTACCCTGGCCACCAAAGGGCCACAAAGGTCACAATGGCCACAAAGGTCACAAGGGCCACAAAGGTCACAAAGGCCACAAAGGTCACAAGGGCCACAAAGGTCACAAGGGCCACAAAGGTGGAAAGGGCCACAACGATATTTGGCCAAATTATCCACCATCCCATTGGCCACATTATCCACGTCCTGGAGGGCAACACCCTTACCCACCGCACGGTTATCCACACGGTCCGTCACATGGAGGTGGACACAATGGACATCCACAAGGTCCGTCACATGGAGGTGGACACAATGGACATCCACACGGTCCCTCGCATGGAGGTGGGCATAATGGATATCCACAAGGTCCGTCACATGGAGGTGGACACAATGGACATCCACACGGTCCCTCGCATGGAGGTTGGCATAATGGATATCCACACGGTCCGTCACAGGGAGGGCACAATGGGGATCATTACCACCATCCCAACCACGGAGATGGCGAACATAATCATAACCATCCACAATCACCATCGCACCCGCACCCGATGCCCGATCCAAGCAATCCGCACCATGGGGAACAAGATAACGATGGTGATCATCATCATCATCAGAGCAATCCTGACGGTCCCGATCACAGAGACAACGAAAGTGAAGAGCAATACCCGCGAGATGGCCTGGATGAAGCTGCTGAAGTAGAGGTAGAGGAATACGTCGTCGAGAATCTAATTGACGAAGGTATACAGGAGTCGGCTGAGAAAGAAGAATCTGTGAACATCGAACCGACTGAATATGAACAGTATACCGAGGATACCGAGGATACTGGCTATATCAGCCATGAGAACAACACACTGGACCTAAACGATGAAACTGCCTCAGTCGAAGAAATGAATGAGGAATTACCTCAACTGGTATACGAAAGTACACCAAACAATATTGACATGGAGGAAGATGAAGAGGTGACTGTGGAACCTTTGATAGAGGTCGAAGACTTGAATGAAGAAAGCCAGTCCACAGAGTCTGATCCTGTGGAAGAACGAAGCAGCAAACGACCAATTATCTTAGCTATAGGAAGTCCACGAAACCCATTCCACCTGTACGCATATGAACACTACAACTCATGAGCATGACGTACACACGAAGGCTACCAATATAAAAATATAAAGAAATAATGACTGTATCATAGTGCATTATGGGCTGAATCTCTTTTGTTTGGGTATTGGGATGTAACAAAGAACACAGCCTTGTGATATCATCACCAGAATAACGAGAAGGTCCGTGTGAGACGCTTCTTACGCATCACAACATTATACCCGGCACTCAGTACTACATCTGCACCTTAGCGGTGTTTTGTTAAATTTTATCTGTCATCTACATCTACAACACTTCGCACACCAACACGCTCCTTTTAGCTCGCCCCCCCTTCCCTAGACCCACACCCTGCAGACTCGCGCCGGAGGCAGAGGCCGCTGACTACAGGAAGCTGAGTGTGAATGAAAGAATGTGAAAAAAAACAACAATTGCTGCGGGACAGGGTGGGTTTAGCTACTGCAAATTGATTTCTTCATTATGGCTATAATAATGATCCAATCGGATCCCAAGTTTTCTTTTATCTTCAAAATTGTAGGTTTGGGAGGTTTTCGCCCTTTTGCAAGGTGGAAGGGGGCAAGGCTCATTTTTGAAATACACTTGTAACAGTGTGAGCATACAGAAGTATGGATGAAAAATTTGGTGGCTCTAGCTCTTATAGTCTCTGAGTACTAAGCGCTCATCAGGACGGACAGACGGACGGACAGACAGACATGGCTCAATCGACTCGGCTATTGATGCTGATCAAGAATATATATACTTTATGGGGTCGGAAACGTTTCCTTTTGTGTGTTACATACTTTGTGCACAAATACAATATACCCTATTTACTCGTCGAGTACCGGGTATAATTACAGCAAAAAAAAAACAGATGTTTGGAAGAGCAAAGGAGATTGTAAGAATGCCTTTGATCCAATCAACCGAATGAACTCAAGCAGCGTGTAATTTCAGGAAAAGTGTAAACAGCAGTGGGTCGATGTGCAGCAAGCGGCAGAAGCAGCAAAGCGGCCAATAACTTTGCAGATATAAATATAGACGCCCAAACTTTGAGAACTGTTTGAATTTTTAAAGTGACATCAAATCTCCGCGGACACCTCTGCTCATGCTTGTACTCAAAAACGCTTCTTTCTCCGATCTGCAAAGAAAAAACATTCATTTGAATTTGCCCCAGATAAGATGTGACAGACACATTAAAAAAACACCGAAATCCAAACCATTGTTACTCTAAAGAACTGGTGGATGACTCTTATGAATTTCGCTAATTCAAGTCAATTCCTAGGCATGCTTATTTTTAGATACCTAAATAGACAGATATATGTATGAGTATTCAAATATTATGATAGATTCGAAAGGTTGCTCGCTTTGTGATCGTTACTATTTTTAAACTACAGCAAGTGGAGCGACTGAACCCCAGTCTGAATATAGTTTAATGAATGATGAAGTGCGACAAATGTTCTTGCTTTTAATTATGCTTTCACACGAGATTATGTATTTTAGTGAACATCGTCAATAGCCGAGTCTATTGTCGCCTGGTACTCAGAGACTGTAAGATCTAGAGTTCAACAAGCTAACAAGTTAAAAAATTGTAATTAAATGGTAAAGGATTTATTTCTGTACATCAACTGGGGGAATATAATACAGGGCGACCATATTAATGATCATTATACTGATTAGGCTAAAGGTGTTTGTTTATATTGAACTAGTTATTAAAAGATCCAAATCATTTTCTTCCATAATGAGCTGATGGGTCTGCTGTGGCATATGGCTTTTGATCTATCCACTTCGTGAGGTCGACTTGTGCAATATTTGTGCACGGCATAATAGGATTCCTGAGAAAATTATGGCATTAATGAGTGACCTGATTACACTTTCTGCAATTCTACTTACGATCCGGAAACCGTCCTGAATGCTTCAGGCTGCATTGAAGTAATGCGATTTCCATTATCGCACAGCAAACGAGCCATACTTGCCTTACGAAGCTCGACCAATTGATCTAAAAAGAATTATTTGAGTTTATTTCATGATTGGAAATATTTTCTAGAGATTTTTAAAGTACCAGGTGTGAAGCCGGTGATTTTATCGCCGTTTTCGAAGAAAAATCGATCACCCACGCGAGTTCGGTAAAATTGTTCGGTGAGGATGCACAGAAATGTGGGACCAGCCAAAGCTCCAGAAACATGTGCCTCCAATGAGCCACCCACCGTCAGGTCAACGTCCTCGTGGCTATGGTAAAGCGACTTGAGTTTTTCAATTATGGGAACGCTGATCAAATCGGAGTAGTCCTCCCACGAGTGAGCGCGTCTCAACCCACAGAATTCTCTCATATCGTTGTATGAGGCAAGACCATGATCACGATTCCGTTGTATGTCCAATGATCTTAGGTCGGAGCCAAAAGGCATGTTTCGGCGGAACAGGAAATGCTTGATCTATTTTAAAGAATTAGAGTTACTTCACTGGCTTGTTCGTTGGTCAAATGCGTACGTACCTGTCTATCAAAGTTAATATCCGTCAACTCTTCGGGCTGCGTGGCATGGCCTCTCGTAAGAGAGTCAAAATTGTCACCGACTTCAATGATGCCAGGACGATTGAACCAATCGCTCAGGGTCAGTGAGCCGAGAACTGTTCGCATCTCCGACAAAAGGCTGGAAGCATAATTATACTATCATTGTTAACCAACAAATGGATAAAGTTGAACTTACTCTAATCTGCCTTCAATCTGTGAATGGAAGTATCTAAAGGCTGCAGTTGCGTGCTCATTGAGAACTGAAGGATCAATATTTAAATCAAAATCATTGACATAGCTGCCACCCGGGGCCTTGTAGATCAGGCGATTCTTTAACATATTCTCGGCACCCAGGAAAATAGGCAACCACTCATAGTAGCTTATCTGCTGGTACTGGGCTATATTGATTTTGCGGGATTCTTGGAAAAGTGTGCGGTCATCATAGTGGGGATTAAGCGCTGCCAAAGCATCGGCAATTCTGTTGTGCTCGCGCAGAAGAACTGTTTGCAGGATCGCCAGGCCGGGATTCTGATTGACTCGCACATCGCCGGACCTGTAGCAGACCTCGCTGGAATCAACTGCATCGCAGTCGCCGGTAACGTTGCGGGATAGTGGTAGCCACTTGCCTCCGTTGCGCTCCTCCACAATCATGCGACCCCCTTGGAACTCTCGAATGTCGCTGTTCTGCTGTATTGAGTTGCCGTAGACTAGCGATAGATCCAGATATGATGTGACCACGGTCAGTTGCTCTGCAGGTCCGCCCGCGTACTGGCAGTTGGAGTCGCGATCTGTGAGGGTTCGCACAAAGTTAAGGCACTCCGTGCCCACCTGGGAGTATGCCGGATCGTGTGGGGGTACGATGATGGCAAAGCAAGTTTTATGTGCTGTGTCCAGGCCAATGAGCCGTCCATCATCAGTGCAGCAGCGAGTCGGATGTTTCTCTGGGGGGGGGGGGGGACAGAGTCAATCAGAAATATGGACTAGCTTCGAATAAAGAGCAATCCACTTACTTGATTGAGTGCCACCTGCCTGCATGCTCATGTCGTGCGTGATTATTTGACCCCACTGCATGTTGTGGAGCGTAAATTCCGGATCTGGTACGTCCTGCTCCCCGAAAGCCACCAAAGAGACTAGTCGAGCGCTTGGAAGTTCCTCTCCAGTAACCGATCGAGTCGGTGCTGATATGCCGTCAGCGTATTTAGGTGTCAGCAGGCGACCATATCTAGGGAGAAAATATGAGGACCTGACGCAAGTCGGAGTGCGTCGAGGACTTACCTAGTGTTTGCGACTCCTAGTCCAGGTTGCTCCAAATGGTTGCAGGATCCATCCAAAGTGCGATATGCTGTTTTCTCACACACTGCGGGGGATTGAGCGCAAGCCACTCGACCTGGGGTTGGAAAACTGTAGCCATAGGGAGTAATGGGGGAGCCAATTGCAGGTCCAAATGGTGTTTGCGGTGCTGGTGAGGTAGCTCCTGCTGCACTCGGTGGTAGTCCATTTCTGTAAATAAATATTAAAAATGCAGCTCTACTGCAGAACCTACTGCAACTTACCCAACTATGTACGGAGCTGAACCCTGAAGATAGCTAAATCCATGAAAATCGGGATAGGACTGCTGGTTGTGCACAATATGGTAGCCCGTAGAAACTTTGAGTCCCAGTGTGTTGCTGCAGAATCCCAAGAGGGTCAGAATAAGTACTTCTCGTGCACTGTTCATCTGAAATGAGAGCAAAGATATTTCAGAATATCTATTTGGGTAGTAGGGGTTTATCTTTTTTCTATCTTTGCTATTCTGTGGTATGTACATTGATTTGGCTTCGACACGGCGAGCTACCAAGACTACCAACATACATATGTACATGGGTATATGGGTCTTGATAGTGCAGCTGGTGCCGACGAGGTGATTGGAGTCTAGCAGCAACATCGTGGACACATTCATGTTAACCGGCCACTCGCAGCAAGTGAACTATAAGTGGAACGCTTTGCATTTTTTTGCCGCGCATTGCCAACCAGTTGTGTGGAACCTTTGCATTGAGCTTAGCGATCGATCTGGGCTCCTACTCCTGTGGCCAGGTACGGTCGCAGCAGGTTTCGTCACAATTTTGGTGCGCATTCATTATTATTTATTGCGACATTTTAGTACTCGCACGAGCACAAATATGTTCATTGCGGAGGCTGTACCTGAAAGTCTGCGCTGTTGCTGGTATTTACCCAAGAGCCGCTCCAAGCACAATGGAATCAATTTAGATTCGTGCTCAGACTGCAAGCGTGAAAAGTCTCATAATTGTTGTTATGGTAACTGCATATTTGACCAATTTGCAAGCTACTTATGTAAACAGACTGAATTGACAGTAATAGTTGGCTTTACATAATGAATTTGTCTGCGCACAGCCTCTGCCTCTGCCTCTGCCTCCGCCCCGAATTCGTTCTGCCGACCTCCCAGCCCCTACGGCCTCGTGCACCACGATCCACAACCTTTTGTAGAAAAGGCCAGCTGCATGCAAATGCGCAGATATCGGATGCCGTGGCAGAAACAAAGGCAAACC